TCAGCTCCTGTCCACTACAAAAGGCCGCACGTAATATTATGGCGATTATTCATACGCTTAAAAGAGTTTTTCTATATATCTAGATAAACCGTAAAATGCCTAGAACAATTATCTATTTGCTACTAGTTTTTTTTTTTATTGCGATGAACTACTCAAATTTTGACATATGCGAGGCTCGTATTTTTTAGATAGCCCATCGACTTGCTAAAATCTATATCATAATACATTAGGCTACTCAGTACAATTTTGAAAATGTATAATCACCGATTTGTAGATAGTCATCGATTTGATTGAAATCACCATCAAACTCTTCTGTACGTGTAACTTGCAGTGTACTTAAGTTAGTGTACACAAAATCATATGTTTCCTAAAAAAATTCCTTTTGTATAAAAAAAACATGTATTCCCGTTGGGTTCTTGGGTTACAGTGATTTAGTGATTGTCTGGACAAATATACTCGCTTGTGAGTATATGTAGATATATTTGATGAAAACATTTTTGTATTAACTAAGCAAAATTTCAAAATAATTTGGAACTGTCGTTTTTATTAAGGACAAGTGCAGCCGAAAACGCTGATCATGCCTTACGACCCGTGTTAAACCTGCAGGACGGCGACCATACATGTACATGACCTTCATACTACCGTCTGGGTTTAATGTTGGTAAACAATAATAATTATTTCTGTCGTATCATGTTCTTCAGCAGTATTTTTTTTTTTATTAGGCTTAAAACAGTTCTAAACGCGCAAGTGCAAAATACGTACAAAAGTATGAACTTGATTATAGTTTAAAATATACTTTCAGTGAACCCAGATAATATTTTTAAAAAAAAACTATTTATGCAAAACAAGTATAATAAGATGCATAGTATATGCAAGGCATCTAGTTTTGCTATTTTACCCATTTCCACTTCCCTCCTCCTACCGTTGCCAAAATGATGACGCCATTGTGGCTGATGGAATGAGGAGCAACTGTTGCTAAATTGAAATTGTGATTTCTAAATTACTGTCATAGCCACAAGGGCAAATTAAAAACAAACTTCTGTCAAAAATGAATAAGTGTTCTTTTTCAAAAAAACTTGTACCATTTTACACCAAAAATTGTCTACCCAACTTGAGCCGGCCATTAAGAGCCATTGCAGCCTCCTCCAAGAAGGAGGAGTTTTCTGATACATTAGACTTGTAAAATATAATAATATAATCATTGACAGCGCACGGTTTCTGAACGCCTCCTTCATTGAGTGTTCATCCTTCGCTTTATTATATTATTATTATTATTATTATATGTGCATCGTCCGGTTTTGATTTATCCGGCCCGGTAAGCGTTATCGCCAGCTTGTTATACGACTATCGATTTACTGCGGTCAGCTCGTGGAGTTTATATTACACTTAGTCACCGTGTATAATAATAGTAATGATAATAATATGGGGTCGTCCGCCGAGGAAGAGGGGCGCAGAAGTGTGCGGCTCACAACACACACATAAACTCTGATCATCGCGTCACAGCCTACGTAGGTTCGTGTTATGTTAATGATAGCTGTAAACGAATACACACGTAGGTATAATAATGTGTCACATCATGCGCGTGTCAGCGTTAAAAAGCGAAAAATCCGGAACAATTATTATTATCATCATTATCGTTACAACTACAACGTTGCATATAAACTATAATAATATAATAATAATATATTATACATAATCCTATCGCAGTAAAAAAAAAAAAAAAAACTACAATTATTATTATTATTATTATGCAATAGTATGTGCCTTAGATTTATCTACTGTATAATAATAATACTGAACAGACTTCATTTTTTTTTTTTAACTTTTGGGACAAATGGGCTTTAAGTTAAAAGTTTCTATTTCTCATAAAACTATGTGGTAAATTGTTTACAAAACGCAGGCATTTTTTTCTTGTTCCGTGAGTGTAATTTTTTTGTCAAAAATTGATACTAGACCCCGAGTTCAGATATCAATTTTAAAAAAATCCATTTAACAACATAACATTTTCTAATAAATGTTTTACTCTAAGATTATTAGACAGGAAATCAAATATTAATTGCCAGATTAGAACTTAGTGGCTCTTTCTTCTAGGGCAGCGTGCGCTTCAAGAATGTGTACTTTATGAAAGCTAAAGAGTTGCGGGACATATTCAGGATTTTTTATTAATCTGGTAATTCGAATTATTTATACGGTATATTGAAATCATAAACCTATTTTTAACATAAAATTTGATTTCAAAGCATTTGGATAAGAGATTTTTAAAATTCTAAAAATCCCGGTATCGCCCAACTCAGCAAAGCTTTATAGCTATTTACCGTTGGTCGATTTGAAATAAGATTTATAGAAAACATTTGCACTTCTAAAACGCTGTTTTAAATGTTATGAATTTTTTGTTTATATACAAAAGTACAGAACCAATGAGGTGGGGGGGACTGTTGGTCGTATGACCCCTAAAATGGTAAGACTAACGATTTGCCTTCGGACACACGTGTGTCGGCGCGTCGTTTGAGTCATCAGGAAAGCCATTGCCATTAAAACAATGACAAAAAAAAAAACATAATAATATATGTAAATATCCGTCAGTTGCTAATACTACGGCTTTGCATAAATGTTAATAAAAGCTATACTATGTATGTGTACATATTCTATTTATTGTATAATACTGGTGTGACGTGGATTCGAGGGTGTGGTACTTCAAAAGTAATTGAAAACCGTTTTCGACCGGTTTCTAGAACATATTGCTATGGTCAACGCCAACTGTAATGAATAGGGATAAATCGACTCGAACAAAATACAATATCAAACACCAAACGATATATTTTAATAAAATACCTATCCAAAGCGGTGCACGCCGCGTTTCATGTATTATATTTGCACGCCGTTCTGTCAAGTCATCGGGTTATTGGCTGCACACCTATAAACCCAAACGTACGGCCATTAGTTTATGTACAAAGAGAAACGATGGGGGTGCAAAACGTCCACCGACGTCCGGTCTGAAATGACCGAATACTGCAGTTGTTGTGCTATATAAATTGCACATAATCGACGGTGACCGCGCGGACCACAATGAAGTAATGTGTATAATAATATGTTATATTATTATAGGTATATAAACGGTGGTCGTTCCGAAACGAGTGCCGTCCTTGTTGGGCGCGAAAAATCGTTTTTCCATAATACATACACTTTGTGTGTTCATTCAGTGGTCAGAATGCACGGTATTATATTATATGATGATGATGATGATTCGACAATCGTTTGGTGCAAAATCAAAATTGGTCCAAATGTGTCGCAGGTGCGGGCGAGGCTTATACATTCGAGTATTCATTCTTGACCGTGCAAGCACCTCTCGTGGCTGACATAACGTTGTTAGGGTGACCTGCACGAGTATGTCACCTTGGCAATTTCTGTTGGGGAAAGCCAGCGAGGCTCGAGATGTACGGTTATACTCGAGACGAAACCACGTACTTGTATGTATTTGTAGGTTTACGGAGTTGTCATATGGCGCCATATCAGACGAAGTTAACTCCCCCAAAGAAAAAAAGGTATAGTTATGTATTAACAATTGTGGACAGTGGGCTGAATGAAAACAAGGAAAATTAATTAAATAGGAATAAAGTAATTTAGTACAATTATTAGTGAAAATTCAGCTGTGTAGTGCTACAAAACAAAAATCAAATGAATAATATGACTAATTTGAATAAAATTCAATCGGTTCACATTAGTGGACACATTATGCGTCGTCTAAGGGCCATAGAAAAATACGAACAAATAAAAATATTATAATATATTGTAGCTAAACGTTACACCCCGTTATACAAGGTTATTTCACGCGTTGCACAACAGTAGGTGTATACACGTCGTATACCTACCTAATCTTTTAATACTGCGCATCACCATATAACGGCTATAAGGAGTAGGTATAGACCACTGTTATTCGGCAAATTAACAATGTATAGCCCCGCGTTAAGGGTGGTTTTACAGTCGGATTTCGGTAGTAAACATTATGGTATTATTACAATACCGCATTATTAGTACCGACAAATGCGTTGTATTATAATATAGAGTATTAGTATAATTATATATAATAATTACCTCGAGATTCCGACTTCCAGCGGGTTCGGTATTAGTGACCGTTGACCGCGATTGAGTTTCTTTTGGTGCGGTAGGTTAGGTTATATATATATATATACGTTTTATATCGGTTCATTCAAAAGGATTGCTGGGTCATACGATCTGCTCGTTCTGTCTGAAAAGGGTTAATTTGGAGCAAACTAAGTCTTTAATTATTCCAATCCTTTTTTTCGGAAGCTATTTCGATATTACAGAAGGTTTAGCCACTAACCTAGCCATCCATATTCCTTGACCCTCGGCCTGTTGCGGGCGATCAATGGGTTTTCTTCTTTTTTCTCTTGGATTATATATATATATGTATAAAAAGGATTAGTGTTTAGAGGACTGGTAAGTGCGGAAAAAAAGGGAAACGACAATGATATGGCAATGGTAATGGCACCAATAATATGGTCTAAGAAAAGGGTCCCGTGATCTTACGGTATTGTGCGTGTCCGAACGGGTCCCGCAGAAGGATCCGATGAAAAGGAACGGGGGCCAAGAATAGTGTATGGGGAAAAAAATCGTACTCGGGCGAGGGTCGGCTGAAGGAGGGGTGGGTGTGTGGATCAATCTGCGGCGGTCACGGGCGAGGGCGTTGGTTTTTCGGGGCGCAGGTGTTGGCTTGCGATCAGTGCGAGGGTCGTTCGCGTTCGCCATCTGCCGCCCTTGCCATGGGATCGCGAGAATCCGACGTTTCTCACGGTCCGCGCGCGCTATACACAAGACCGGCTCTGCAGTGCACATACATACATACATACATATATATATACAATATCATAATATACACTGTACAGTATACGCGGTCGCATCTGCCCGCACCTGCCCGTCGGGGACCCGTTCCCCTATATAAGAGCCCTTCGACCGTTCAACAAGCATCAGTCTGCATTCGAGCTGCCTACCGCGCACAACCGACCATACTCATTTCCCCTGTACCGACCGTCGCCACTACCGTCGCCGTCCCTGTTCAGTGCTATCGGCGTTTGTGTGCGTGTACGCCGGATATCAGTGCTTTTTTTCGTCGCCGTCGTCGTCGCAAAACAACCGAAACAAAACAAAAATGGCATACTTGTCCAACAGTTTCGACTTCGAACACATGCAAAACTCCACAAACTGGGAGGCGGTCCACAAGAAACGGTCGTTCGTCTCCAGGAAAATGCACAAAATCAACAAGGTAAGCGTCGTTTGAAATTAATAACAATCAATTTCGTTTTTCGAAAAATCTTTTTCCGATGTTTACCGCCGCACGAACTGCTGATCTAACGGATTTGTTTTTTTTTTTTTATGTTTAGACTTTAAAACCGATACTCCGTGCCCTCTGCCGCCGGAACGCGGTCACCCCGGTCCAAGGTTCCGCCCTGGACCCACGTGGCCTGTCGCCCGAAGAACTTGAGAACTTGCAGAACGAATACATCGAACGCAAACTGTCCCAGGCCGTGGTCTACGACGAGGACGACTACTATTCCGATTCCGTCAGCGTCGAGTCCGGACTTGGCTTATCGTTCGAAGAGCTCCGACAGCCCGAACAACAGCTCATGTCTCTGCTGCCCGAAGCCCACTACTACATGTCCCGGGACTTCTGGTTCGAGTCCGACATCCGCACCTTGGGACAACCGTCGTTCACCCGGCAACAGGTCGCCCAGAGACAACAACCGTACGTACGTTAAACGCAAAAAGGTATTACTAGAAAGTTTTGTCGTTGTTGTTGTTAAATTGTTCCTGTTGATGTGATCGCATACCCGATCGTCTTTCATTTTTTTTTTTTTTTTTATATAATACAAATGATTTATTTACGTATTGTACAAATACGAGATCTCTTAGAAAAGTAATTTACCACCTCGATGTGTTCATATTATGAAATAATATAACGATATATATTATTATTTATATATAATATAAATTATTTAACTATTAGTTTTAATTATTCTTAAGAACTTTTTTTTTTCCATCTATATTATGTTTAATGGGATGATATTTTTTCGCAAAAAAAAAAAAACAATTAATAATACAAATTAAACGTCTTGCGAGCCTTTAAACAAACAAACAAAAAAATGTATTACATATTTTTATTATATACATTATCTTATTTATACTGTTTTTTTTTATTATTATTATTGTAGAAAATAACTTTATTTTTTAACTATTGTGTGTCTTATTTATACTATATTATATTATGTAAATTGCGTATAACAATATTGAAATCGCTGTCTTGTATGCGCGTTATTTACACGCTTGTGATAATTGAATTTGTTTTTTTTTTCTAACAGCGTTTCTGTGATTGTTTTGAAAACTGATATTTTATATATTTTGATATTATGATATTGTGTTCGTTGTTTTAAATAAAATTAAAAAAATTTCAACCGATATATATATAACTTGTTGTCGATATAGATTTAATAATTCCTACTATTAACGGCAATTCTCACGTGAAGTACACGAGTCCGTGTATTAGGTAAACTATACTGTTGTATACATAGATATTATGTTGTATTGTTATTCAAAAAGAAAACCTAGCGATTAAGATTAATCAAATGGTGTATGTCGAGTGCTTTTTGACTGCTTCAATGCGATAGCAAATGTAAACAAATCAGTGTGCTGTGAATCATAAAGGTGTAAGTCGGGTACAGATAACAAAAAAATAAAAGGGTAAAAAATTAAAAGAGTTACAAAAACCACAGGCCAATTGGTGGCGGCGATTGCTGAAAAATGTTGTTATAATTTGGCATTTTATTGACAGGTGTTCGGGGCGACAGGTCAAGTATATAATTCTGTAGTGCTCGGGTAAAAGATCCTGTGTTCAAAATTACTAATTTTGGTAAAATTAAATTTAAACTTTGAATAAAACTTGAGAAAAATATTTGTACTTAAATAACTTTTACAATAAACATAAATACTGAAATTGGGGTCGTCGCACGCGCAAAACCGTGTATCACTCGTGTAGTAATTTATACATAACAAATAATATATATATATATATAACATTATTGTTGTGCGTACAAGACTCGAATGGTGTCTACGCGCTGTCCGTTGTTTAAATATATTATGTTATTATTTTTGAAAACATTTCCGGCGTCGACAGTTTTCGCCGAAAACGAGGGAAAAATCAAAACGTGTCCGCCAAAATATTCCGCAACAGCCGTCTAGACGTCTAGGTACAATATAAGTACGCGCACTTAGACAGCCGTGTATACCGTCTTGACAAAATAATTGTTATTTATTATTATTATTATTATTATAATTGTTGTTATTGCTATAAACGTTCACACAATTGATATGCAAACCGATGGTATTCGTGGCGGTCGCCGGCTAGCGCGATAACCCGCCGACCAGACGTTTATAATATTATGTTATTCTTATAGATATATATATACATTTTGATATAGCTCAATATGTATATAGTGTTCACCGAGGGCGTTTTACATAACAATAATAATAATAATAATATTGACAACGCGCAAACATTGGATGCTATTGTGTATGTGTATAAATATATTGAAAAAAACACAACGTTTACAGTTTTAACATTTTTTTTTTTTTTTAGCAAGTATTAAAAAATAAACGTCGAAAATCAAAATTAATTTTTTTTTTTATGCGTCTGCTACTTACCCGATCATCGGGTCTGACTTCCCGGTAACGTTTAAAATTATTTTTTTTTTTAGACCGGCCCCAGGAGTTTTATCTGTTTACACAATATAAATATTAAATGGTGTTTTATTTACAGTGTGGACGAATTAATTTTATTGGTAATTTCATTTAACGTTAATCGTTAACTTTAGCCGTGGATCAAGAACCCGCCGCGGGCTCATGCGTGCCAAAAAAAAAAATGTTTTTAAATTAAGATTGACTAGGCAAGCGGAAGCCAAGAAAATCTAACACAATTTGTAAAACGGACCAGTATAGCAACGATTGAGTATAATGTTATATTGATGACGCCAGCCGAGAGAACTAAATCACTCTAAGAATCCACCCCTGGCTATGAATTAAAATGTTTGTGTTGTTTTTTAATATTATATTAAACGCTGCCAAGGACATTTGCGAAATTAGTCGGCAATTAAAATATTTGTTTTTACCAGATTGCCGACCAAAGAACGTTAATGCCTCGGTATTGAAGCATTATTACTTTTTTTTTAATCGTTTGAAGTATGTACAGCACGGGCGACCTGCACGTCTTGTGTATCTCTTCTGTGTACACGATGCGGTTAAAAAAAAAAAAAATGTTGTCTCATCTTTTTTTCTTTTTATTATTTACAATCAACGGTTATGATTATTCTACATTGCGTTAGTATTGTTGTTGTTATTGAGTAAATAACGTGAGAATCCGAATATGGATGTAAATTATACACGGTCACACACTGAGGGGCGGCACATCGGTTTTGGCGACCGTCCAATTTAAACCAAACATGTACATTGACTAATAGCGGTCACGTGTAAACCACTCAATCCGATTAAGAAAATGGCATCGAGTACAAACGGTTTTGTCAAATGCAGACTCCGTTTGGCCCGTACTGTAGTTATTGACCTGACCGGTTATTCTGTAGGTGTGTTATGTGTAGAATCGGTGAAATGTATGTTGTGCTGAGAAGAATTAGCGCATCTTCAAAAGCAACTCTCAAGTTGTGTTTCCATTATTTTGGTAGTAAACTAGAATGAAGTTAACGCTTAAATTAAAAAATTGTCATCCATAAATCACAAGTCCGTTGGAGAGAATTATAGAATATTCGAGGAAATTACACACAGTGGACGTACTGATATAAAAAGATTAATGTCCCGTAATAAGAAAGCCTACATTATAGGACAGTATAGGCCAGTGGTCAAGTCCGCCCTCGCAGTCGATTAGTGGCTATGTTTTTTCAGGGCATGCTAAAAGTCGAGAAAGTCAATTAAATTAATTGACTTTCTCGACAAGGCCATTCAAAAACTGTGTTGCAAGCCTTAATCATAGCTATATTTTTATGCTTATTTTTATAGCTTCTTATTCTTCGTAACTAAAAAAAACAAAAAAAAACGTTTCTAACACCGTCGCGAACAATTAATTTTTACGCACAAGTGCTGTACATACAGAGGGATAGGTATAGATTGTCTTTATATAGTTTTCCGCGTTTCTCAACATAATATTACCGTTATGTCCTCCCGTTTTCGGATTACAATAAAAAAAAATATAAGTACCATAAAAATGAATAATACTACAATGCAAGGCCAGGCCAATTTAAGGCCACTCGCAAAGAAGCGGTCGTGTTAAGTGTGTACCTATTTTGTTGTTATCAAAATAATTGTTGTCTTCGATTATACAGAGACTCGGGGTTATCGTGTAATTCTCATAAAGGAAACATAACAAATATATATATATATATATATATATATAAGTAATAACAATAAGTGTATAATGTCGAAACGGGAGAGGGAAAAAGTTGCGTACCTTACAGGCGATTAAGTACATAAAAGAAAAACAATAATAAAGGGCACGATCGGGGCAACGTCGGGCACGTGCATGCATGCGACCACATCGGCGGGTCTCCTCCGGGCGCTGTACGGTAATTATCGTGTAACATAATGGAGTGTGTAGAGGATAGGGCGATCTCTGCGGCGGCACAGGTAGCTGCCGTGCGCGCGGAGAAGACGGTGAGAGTGAGACCGAGCAAGAGCAGATATAGAGAGAGAGAGAGAATAAGAAGAACGGCTGCTGCTGCTGTTGCTCCTGGTCGGCAGCGTGGGAACGGCGGAGAATCGGTCGTCGCCACTGCCAACCGGTGCCCGGGCTCGAGCCGTCGTCGTTACCGTGGGAATGCAGCGGGCTCCTTATAATAATCAGCTCTCTTCCACCCCGCGCCGCACGCCCTACGGTGTTGTGTGCTCGCACACCGTATAGCTCGCGCGCCATACACGCACACGCACACACACACACACACACACATATACATAATATTATTATACAAACGGGCGCGCGCGATCTCCTCGTGTATCTGTGTGTGCCACCGCGCCAGATGTGCACACGTACATCATATTATTATTATTATTATTTGCTCACGGGCCAGACGAAGACAAAAGATGTTTTCTTTTTCTCCTTTTTTTTTTTTTTCCTTCTATGTCAGCACACGTACCTACCTAAACACGAGCCTTCGAGATGTTCCCATACCGTGTATACCTACCCACCGCCGACCACTCCGACCCTTTATATTAATCCTTTTTTTTTTTATCTTATTTTTTTACCTCTTTTCGCCCGGCATATTATGGTACTCGTGTTTTAACACGTTATATATATATATATATATATATATATATTATGTTGATTGTTGTTTCGTGCCGTCTCGAGCGCACAACAATATACGAACCCTTAATGGGCTTCTTTTTTTTTTTGTTTTCACTATTTGCGCGTGCCCGACCCGTTTTAATTGAACTCTACCGAAAGGTAGACGCACAGACTGATTTGGCCGATTTCTTTAAAAGGACCAGACGACGTTTCGGGCGCCAAAACCGGGCCCCCGAAACGGCACGGGGTGTTGTACCGCAATAACATCAGATCTCTGATTAGTATTTTTTAAACAATAACATATAATCACCGAAAACTGGGTCGACCGAACTACTCCGCGCCGTCCGTTTCAAGAGGGCGTCGAAAGAAAACCTTTGGATACAACACTTTTAGGTCGCGCCACCGTTGGTGGACCGTGAGAGCGTAATATTTTCATCTGGAAACAATCTACACGTGGCGTATTAATAACAAACGGTGTACTTGTAATAAATAAGATATGTTTTTTTCTTTTACAGTGAGATGGGGGGCGGTAGGGCGGACGCCGGGTGTCGAATGAATTAATAATATATTAAGGACAATTTAACACCGAACGGTCGTCGTGACCCCGGCCGGCTGATAAGTCAAGCGCAAAAATTACATAAGCAACATTTTAAAAGCTTTTGACGACCGATCGCTATCTGCATATTATCGTAGCCGGCGAAAACGACAACGGCAACAATATTATTCATAAAAAAAATGTACAAAACATTTTCTTCGACCGGCGACTGGTGTTATCGTCGCAGTAAGTGTAGGTACGTTGTAACCGCATCTGATGTAATTTTTTATTTTTTTATTTTATCTAGGGGCAAGTCGATCCGTTGGCGTTTTGTGGGGAGGGGGCACGTTCGAGGGGAACACCGTGGAGTGGTGTGTAGCTGGCGATTGACGTCAAAACACCGCCGGAAGCCGGTTCGGGCCCGGAGCGTGCTGGGCACGTGCAAGCCTGGCAACAAGTGCGCGTTTACCTACGTCACGCGCGCCGCTTGAAGTGTCATCACGTTGTCATCATTCATTCGTCGACGGCAATTTACCATTATTGTTGTTATTATTATTATTATTATTGCCGCTCTTTACGGGTACCGTGATCGACCCGAAGCGGATAACACACCCGTCTTATCGGCGCGTTCCGGAGTTTAAAAGTAATACAATTTGAACATGTCCCTCACCCTCTCGCCCGCTAGGTCTCGCCGCCGCCGCCACCACTCGAACCGACAAATTATAAATATTATAATTATTATTATTGGTGATAAAATAATAATAATTGTTATAACATATTGCGACGCGACGGCCATTCGATAACGACGTGCGCACCCGTTCCACCGTTTTGTCATCCCCCGAAGAAGAAGCCCAAAAACCTTAAGACATTGAATACGTCGAATATGCCCCGTCTCTGACCTCAAAATATTCATTCCGAGACCAAAACTAACTAAAATATCATGTTCTCGTTCACAATAATGTCGTGTATAGTTTTGACCGATGATTATGATGATGCTTAGTCAAACAAATGGTACTGCATTATCAGCGCCCGAGCGACCCATCCGCGAGATAAGGCAACCGTTGTGTTGGCACGGTATTGACTTTTTAGCCCGTTTAGACGTGGCAGGCGCGGTGTAAACTGGAATGTACTCGCCGAACGTTTTTCGACTTATGGAAAACACTCGACGCACTTAAAAAATAAATATAATTTATACATTGAGTTTCTTGTGCGTCGCATGTGCGTGACAACGTTTTCACCCTCGTGCAACACGTGCGGGGCCGTTTGGTTTTTTTCCCCCCGAAAATCGTAACCGTCGGCGCCGAGGGCGTTTTGGAAAGATTTGTTTTTGTTGGCCGACGGCACCCGTAAAGTAAAAAAAAAAAAAAAGACGTTAAACCCACACCGATATAACAATATAATTAAGCAAAGTAACCGGGTCGTGTTAAATGTCTTTATTTTTTCCACGTGGTACGCGTCATTCGTCGGCACAAATATTTTCGCGTCCGCCCCGGCTGTTAATATACATACAATAATAAATATGATACTTAATTTACGGCCCGAGTTAACGCGTCGTAAACGCCGCACTGGCGGTGATAGCACGTGGGGTCGGCAACAGATATCGAATACAATAATGTAATAACAATATTGTATCATGACGTGTAACAGCCTTTGTGGTCCTGTTTACAATCACGGGAGGGGACAGAGAGAGAGATAGAGAGAGACATGTCTCCCCTCTTCCGTGCGCCCAAATGCAAGTAAACTTTTTGTCGCGTTATAGTGGTTTTTACAATTTTTGTTTTTTTTAAGCACTCCCGTTAGGTGAACGTTGACAACGGTACACAGGTATGTACCGCTGTAGTTGTTACAAAAAACTCAAAGCTCGGAATTCAAAAAACTTAGGGTCAACCCGGGCTCTTGTATAAAGTGCGGGTGCCCAAGCCGACCGAGTGGGGCGAGTCGAGACGAGGCTTTACCGGGCTAAATTGTGAATCGTTCAGTTTTCCCTATTCGCGTCCAATTCGATTGTGACCGCTTTAATTGGTTCGACCTCTGGACGCGAGAAAGCGCAAAGTCAAGGATACGCGGGTTCAACGCGGCTCTATATATATATATATACATATATACAAATATATTTCACTACTGGAGTTTGAACCGTTCCGTATGGTGTGTACTCTTATCGTTATAACGCCATTCGGAGGTGTTAACTATAATTATTATATTATTGTTGTAGTAGTACAAAATATATGTATACTGCTGGTCGAACGCGGGTAAGGTAATACACACACACACACACACGCGGTCTTGTAGCGTTGTCAAGCCGAACACGCGCGACCACCGTCGCTTATTGTACACGTATTGTATTGAAATAAATTATACGTTGTTATGGCCGTCGCGATTTTACAATGTCAATTAAACGGGCAGTCGACCTTAAACGGCGTTTTCGTTTGGTCGCCGTTGACCCGCCGTATCAAAACGGGTTCGAGTCGAGGCGGCCGTTTGTACCATAATATTGACTTTGGTACTTTTGGGCTAACAAATTGACAGTACATAGTCCTCTTTCAAGTGAACACGCTCGCGTGAGAAGTGCCAATGTACATTGTGATGTTTGATTATCAATATTATTGTGGAGTTCATCCAGTGGCGGATTATTTTACACGGCAAAACCGGCCATTTGACAAAAAAAAAAAAAAATTATTATTTTGCCCGTACATCGATGATTAGCTCTATTTTATTGGGCCCTTTTCCTCAAATCCGCCACTAGACTGTTTACGTTAAACGAGGTGCTGATCGTTGACTGTGTGTGTGTGTGTGTATCGTTCCGTTCAATTCACACAGTACATATTACTATTACTACTACTCGCTTGTGCCGTAACAACAAACATGTATGTACATATATATATATATATATATTATGTCTATATGTATAATATGTACATATTTGGTATAATGTATATAATGGTAATGTTATTAATCGTGCCGCGGTAGGTCTAGTCACACACACACACACACAAACGATTCAAGGAGTGGCGGCGGCGGTAGTCGTGCGGTCGGTGCGGCGGGGAACGTGTGGTGTCCGTCGCACGTGCACACGTCCCAATAATGCGTTTGTACGTGTATGTGTGTGTGTGTGTGTATACGCGGTGAAAAATGCCTATAGACCGCTGCTGGCAGCTGGCCGGCTGCATCGTCATCCGTGTCCGCCGCGTGTGTGGGAACGTCGCGCTGTCCCGGGTTCCCACGGACCGCTCGCCTATATAACGCCCCACTCGGCGCACTGCACAGGCATTCCAACACTGTCCGCCGTTCGTGCAACAACCGTGCCTGCCGCTCTCAGTGTTGTCGACCACTCTTGCTCAAACCCGAGCCCAACCGAACATTATTATACTATACACTATTACTGTACACGTGCCGTGCCGCCGTTGTCGTTTTTTTTTTCTGCTCGAATTTAAACAATTTTATTTTTCGTTTCGTGCGTTTCGTGCGTTTGTGTGTGTTCGTCGCCAAAAATCAAAAAATGTCTTCCGTCGCCACAGAAATGCAACAACCCGTGTCCAGGACTTACCAATACAGAAAGGTAAATACGATTTTTCAATAAAAAAAATGTATTTTTTTTTTTTTTTAATCGAGTATATCAGTGTTGTAATACCGGCAAATTTTAACGAACATTAAAATTGTTTACATACATTTTAATTTAATTTGTTTTCCGGAGACTTGAACGCAAAAATATAAAAAGTTAGAATTTTTTTATTTAACGCCGTAAAGCGGCCTAATAACCGTACATATCAAACGACAGGTAAAATAGAATTTTCGAGGAAAAAACGCATTTTCCTCGAATAAAATAATATTTTAATATTGCAATTTAAACGCCCGTTTTTGAAAATAATTTTTTTTCGGTATTATGATATTTTTATGCTATTCACCGATTTTCTTCTCAACGTCCTTAATGTGTTAATCGATTACTAATGATGTTTGTTTTTCTTCAGGTTATGAAACCAATGCTTGAACGCAAACGCCGTGCCCGCATCAACCGTTGCCTGGACGAGCTCAAAGAGATCATGGTGGTGGCTTTGCAAAACGAAGGCGAGAACGTCAGTAAATTGGAAAAGGCCGACATCCTCGAGTTGACCGTGAGGCACTTGCACAAGTTGCGCCGCCAACAGCGACTTTCCGGCAATCCGGTCACCGAAATGGACCGCTTCCGCGCCGGCTACACGCGTTGCGCCTCCGAGGTGTCCCGGTGTCTGGCCGCCACTCCCGGTCTGGACGTGACGTTGGGCGCCAACCTGATGACCCACCTGGGCCACCGGCTCAACTCGATCCAACCCGTGGCCACCCAAACAGCCAGTGCCGCCGCCGCCGCGCCGCTGTCACTCAACGTCGACTCGTCTTCCATGTCATCCGCCTCCTCCTCGTGCTCGTCGCCGCCACCGGCGTCGCCGTCCAGCACGGCTTCCTACCCGATGCCACTAACGCCCAACTCCACCGTCGGCAGCGAGTCCTCCGACAACCTTCTCCAGGTAGTCGACATGTCTGTGAAGTCACATTGCACCGCCACATCCAACCAGTCCGTATGGAGACCATGGTAACACTTATGCAACAACGGCTCTAACGCGTCCCGCGGTCTTACCGAATAATAATTATCAACATGGCTATAATTACCAGTTAATCGATTTGTATGATTATTACACTTTTTTTTTTTTGTTACTTCCATATAATTTCTATTATTATTATTATTATTTTCTTTTTAAAAGCATTTTGTTTGTAAATCAATCAAATAACTACGGGGAGGGGGGAAGGGATGATATGATAGAGGTCAATTCTAAAATTGTTAAGGCATTTTTTTATTCGCACATGTTTAACTGCAAATTTATTTATAACTATGTTTTTATTTTCAATGCCTATCCTGTGATACTAAGAAGGGTAATTTGTTCTCATAATATAACTTGGTAGTTTTATCTACCTCATAGATTTTAATTTTTTTAATTTATTTTACATATTTATTTGTGTATCTCTTTATTTATATTTTATATATATACATATATGTATATTCGTAAGAATATTTACAATTTTTTGTAGAGACTGTGATATAATATATTCTACAAACTATATTTACACATACATCCACTTGTTTTATTATTATTATTCATAAAACTGCACAACTCCTTTAAAGGTTGACGTACTTTATAAAAAGCGCCAAGGTAAATCATATTTGATTATAGCAGATTAAAACATTTTTATCAAGAGTATTATCTTGGAATAAAACGGTAAACTAATACAGTCTAGTATTTACAAAAACAGAATTATATTTAGCTGTACAAGGTTTTAAAAACAATTAATTAAAAATGTATTATTAGGTATGAACACAAAAAATATATTGAAGAGTGATAACGTTTTCAATAGTAAAAATTATTTAAAAACGTTAGGCGTTACTGTATTTTTTTTAAGAAATAAAAGATAAACATTAAAAATTGTAACGTTTTTTTGAACAACATTTGCTTGTTGGTTTTCATCTATGGTGTATCAGAAAAGAGTGTATTTTCAATATTACAGGTAATTCAAGAAATTAATTAAAGAATTATTTATTATAACAATATTTTATTCTACCCATTAATTTATGAAATCAAATAATTTTCATAATATAAATTTATCCATTAATACACTGTTGTTAATAGTATATACAAGTACGAATTTGTAAATTATAAGTGTAATATAAACAAATGTTGTAAATAATTAGTCTTATTATCTACAACAAATTGCCACTAACTTCCACATATATTATAGTGTTATGTTTTTTTTTTCTTAAATCTCAATTGCCTCTCTACATTTAATCGATACTTAGTAAAACGATTAAGATTGAAAACTAACGAAAGCAATTATTTTTTTAAGAGCACCCATGTACATTGTACGTGAACTGGAAGTGGTTCGGAGGATGAAATGCATGTGCTGAAAAAAAAAACTGATAGTATATTGTTTTTTTTTTAATAATATATCGCGGTAAGCTATTCTACCTACGACATACTTAAATACACTCAATTTATAGAAAAGGCTCAAGAACTAATATAATTAGAGACTTTCGAGTACTCGTTATAAATTCGATGCCGTAAATTCCAAGTTCTTAAGGCTTGAGTAATAGCGCACAGATATAATATGTAGTAAGGCCTATTGACATAATGAATAATTTATTATAATATTAAGCGGTTGCACGCATCACAGTTATCAAAGGGGCAAATAAGCAATTTAATTTCACACTCGGTATATGCTAGTCCAGGGAAGGCGCTACTTGTTGCTGCAAAATAACTAAAATAATAATAATTGCAATGAAACATAGAACGCTTCTTTTTTGGTGACAATATTATTTGAAATACAATTTGTTTAAACGTTAAATGTAATTAATTCAAAAGAACTGACAAGGATGTACACATTTCTTACGGTAACTTTTCTCTTAGGTTTAATTTTATAAACCGCGCTAGAATGTAATAGGAACATTTTAAGGCGCAACGTATAGGCATCTTTACATGCACGCTGCACTTTGTAGTGCTATTTTTTCAATTTTATTGAATAACTTATTTTATGAGTCGCAGCAATGCAAATTTTACAATATCTTACAGCTATTAGTATAAGTTTATGTTGTTATTTTCGTACAATCGCAATAATGTATCTCCAAAGTATTTGAATTTTACAAAATGATAATTATGTTATCCAGTCGTCCACTGACCCCTGTTGGCCATGTTGTACCATTGTAAATTGTACCTACTATAATATCATAGATTTACAAATGTTAGCACATACTGGTTATATATATTTTTTAATTGACAGTTATAAAGTACGTTTAAAACCATTTTGCCTGCACAGTGTACTGTATATATTTTATCTAGTAGTTATTAAATTAAATATTACTCAAATCTCAACAATTCAATACCCATGTTATTTTAATTTTCCGTGTTATTTCGTTGACAATCTTATTTAAGGCCCCTGGATACCGACCATTTTTAAGGAGTTTTGTATAGGCAATATTTAAGAAAAAAGTGTTTTTAATACATTTCCACCATGCCAATTCATTTACCGGTTAATTTGTAAAAGCACCATGGTATTATTTTTAATTTAAATCATTTTGTCTATGAGTAAAAGCCATTTTAGTTAATATAATAGTAAATATTGTAACGCTGTGCAAGTTAAACATCAAGTATAGATGTTCTAGAACATGATAATAAAATTAAAATTATACACTACATTTTATAAAATATCTAATTTATATAATTATTTAGTTTAGTTTATTCTATATATAAGTTGAAAAAGTGCAATGTGTTTTGTACGTGTTTGACTTTATCAAGCGTACGATTAATTCGAACGTTTTTTTTTCTAATAGTCACATTTACATAATATAAGTAAAAAACTCTTGAACAAACTGCGATAAAACATATTGTATTTTATACTAATGTGTGCTGGGTGATTCTTTTAGCGCAGTACGCTAGTTTTCTCATAAAATAATTATGTAGTAATTCATTTTGTAGTATTTCTTTTCGAAAACATTTTTGTTTATGTTATAATACAACGGAGCTACTGCACTGGAAGTGGAATTCCACACATGTTGAGATTTTAAAAATTCATCTCAAAATTCAAATACGCTCGAACAAAAAAATATTTGGAATAGAAATGTATGAAACGCAAACTCACTGTTTTTAATTGAATAAAGTATTATGAATTAGGAAATAATCTACATTTACAATAATTTTTTATTGGGATGTTTGGCTACACTGTTGTATATTGTTTGTTATCGAGAAGTTGATTGATATCAGAAATGTGTACTAAAATATTGTAATTTATTAATTTTTTATAAACAGTAAATATTTACAATTTACAAAATACATTTTCAAAATTACGTTCATAATATTTCAGAGATTTTTATTAATAACTATTATAGAGGTTAATAAAGTGTTTAAAATACAGGTTATCGTTGAAAGCCATAACTTATACTTTAATATTAATATTTATTAATAGTACTTTTATATATTTTTAATTTATACTGAAAAATTATGCTTCCATTAAAACCGCCGGTTTTAAAAAAAGAATTAGATACAAGTTTTATTCCATTTCCGATTTGTGATGAAAATGGAGAAATATCAAAGGAATCGTGGCCAACATTTCATGGAGTTCTTGACAAGCAGACAGTTATTATTAATGATTCAAATGAAATTGTGCGCCTTACGAATTTTGTTAGTAACAACATATTATTAGCTTATTACATTAGCACAGATAATATAAAAAAAATATGCTATTTCAGGGTTGTTTTGGTCAGTCTAATCTACCTCATCGGGTTACAAGTTTCACTTACACAAACTCTAAAAATAAAACCACAAAACGTAAGAGGAACTGGGGTTCATTGCAATTATTGCCTTACAATTTCACTGAAAAACCAAACGACAACGTTAATGAACCAAATGAGGAAGAAGACAATCCAATAAATTGGAACGATCTAAAACAAAATTTTCCCGATAAATATGAAAGTTTAAAATTACTTGCTGGACAAAATCAAGATATAGTTTACCATTTACTGTTAGAAGAAGCGTTCTTTCTTCACTTTACACTCGAATGTTTAGAGATTAAAAACGAAGATGGAATGTTTATTAATACGACGCAATGTTGGAATATTTTCAACAGTTTAAAAACAAATTTTCCTTATTATTATGCTGCATACCATTATTATAGATCTAGAGGATGGGTAGTGAAGCCAGGTAGCCAGTACGGTGGAGATTTTGGTAATTATTATCATTAAAATAATTCTTAAGCATTTATATATGTTATACTCTTCTTATATATTTTCAGTGTTGTACAAGATATCTCCAGTTTACTACCATTCATCCTATGTTGTTATCATTACCATAAATGATCAAAATACTAAAATAACATCTTGGCCAGAAATGTTGGGTTGTGTTCGAGTGACAGAAGCAGCTAGTAAAGATTTAATTTTATGTACAGTATTCGGTCCACCTTATAACGATTCTAGCCCTATTGATATGACTAAATACACTGTAACCGATACTATTATTAAACGTTGGGTTCCAGCTCAAAACAGATAACATGTGAATTGTGATTTGTTTTATATAAATAAAATTTATTGGTTATTTTTTTTTTAGCTTCAATGTTTTTTTTTGATAAACAATCAAAATGTACAAATTTTATTACTACATTATAACTTCTAACAAAAGTTAACTTTTCATTTTCTGTTCATCTTTCTTCTTCCCGGTCAATCTATATTCTCTTCGTTCAACAATGTAATTTTCACGACATTCTTTAATGAATGTTTCATCGTTGAACCATTGTCCCATACAAGCGTTTAACTGTTTCACTTGAGGTTTACATTTGTAAAATGCTAAAATCCCAGTATCTAAACAGCAATCTCCAAATGCTAAAATTACATATAACATTAAAGTAAAAGTTTCAAAATAAATAATTAAAAGAATACCTTTATTTAGTTCAGCACATTTTTCATACTTTGCTTTTTCGCGTACTATTTTAGGAATTAATACATTTTGCTCAATTTTTCGTAGGCTGTAATCATCAGGATCTCCTAAAATATAAATATTACTTTAATTTAGATTTTACAATCAATAACTGTAAACAATGACTTACCCAATCCATGAGGACCACCAGAGTATCGAGACTTTCTAGTTTCTGTCTTTTCTGAACTATTAAACATCACGGGTATTCGACTGTAGACGATTAGTTTATATACATATTTTTGTTAAAATAAAATTTTATAGTAAATTTATTAATTCAATGCAAACTAAAATCCATAACCATCAACGATTTTATAATAATTCTATTGCATTTGCCATTTAGTTAGTAGTTTTTGAATTTTCATTTTTTTTTTTTTATCAAAACTAATTGATAGTAAGATATAAGGATAATAAAATGATTTTAATCACGAAAAAACATAACCTCACTTCTATGTTTTTAAGGTTATGTGATTACTTTGTTGTCAAATTCGCATAATCATTTTTCGAATACAATACTCATTCTCAAACGCTTCTGTTAAATTTTTTATGTTTGTGATACATCATATTTAAATATTTATTATTTGAATTAACACTTAGAGATATTTTCAGTTTTTCTTATTACAAATTACATAGTGTTTATTAATTAAGATCATATTTAGTTCAAGTAATTAAAAAAATTAATATTTATTGTAATATTAGCAAAACAAATTAAAACTGACTTATTTTTTTTTTTGTTCTTTAGAATATTCTTGAGATATGGACCGTTTATTAAGATTGGGCGGTGGAATGCCCGGATTAGGTCAAGGATCAGCCCCGGCTGCTGATACGCCTGTGGTTGACACGGCCGAACAAGTATATATATCATCATTGGCCTTATTAAAAATGTTAAAACATGGTCGAGCCGGTGTTCCTATGGAAGTTATGGGTTTGATGTTGGGTGAATTCGTGGACGACTATACTGTTCGTGTTATAGATGTGTTTGCTATGCCACAAACGGGAACGGTAAGAATTTCTTGGTTCAATATCGCAATAAAAAAATTATTACATTCAGTAAATATTTCTCCTTAGGGTGTGAGTGTTGAAGCTGTCGATCCAGTATTCCAAGCAAAAATGTTGGATATGTTAAAACAGACTGGTAGACCAGAAATGGTTGTTGGATGGTACCATTCACATCCTGGATTCGGTTGTTGGTTATCTGGTGTTGACATTAACACTCAACAAAGTTTTGAAGCACTTTCTGAAAGAGCAGTTGCCGTTGTTGTTGACCCCATTCAAAGTGTTAAAGGTAACTAGGTATACAGTAGAAATTTTTAAATTTCGACTTTATTTTATTAAAACGCAATTCTATGATATATCTTAATTTATAACTTATACCTAGTAGGTACATCAAATATTTGTAATTTTTTTAATTTAATTTAAACAACCCAAATATATAACATTCAACTAGTTGGAAAAAAAAATTTAAAACAAAAATAAGTAATTTAATTAATTATTTACAAGTGGGCGATTGTTTCTCATTTGGATGTTGAAAATGTTTATAACATAAATGAACGCCATATGAGCTTTAACCAATATACAGAACAAATTAACTGTAAAATAGCAAATACATTTTTTGAAAAGGGTTTCCAAAATAATGCTTAAAAGAACACGCTAGTCAGTTTATAACCAAACACCTAAAAGGGGTAAATAAAGAAAAAGTTTCTACTTCTGAGGAAAAGTGTTTAAGATGGTTTAAAATATATCTCATGCAAATTTTCAAAAAATGTATCTTGTAATTTTAAGTCTGTAAATGCATTCTGAACTTTTCATTCGATCAATCTACACTTATTTTTGTATACATTAATTTTTCTGTTATAGAATAACAATTAAATACAAATATAAGAATTGTTTAAAAAAAATATATATTTAAATTTTCAGGTAAAGTTGTAATAGACGCATTCCGTTTAATCAATCCTAACATGATGGTATTAGGCCAAGAACCAAGACAAACTACTAGTAATTTAGGACATTTACAGAAACCATCAGTTCAAGTAAGTAATATATATATTTTAAATTATATATTGACTTATGATACTCACCCTTGAAGCGTTCTGGTGTGTAGTGGGGCAAACAACGTCTATTTTGCAGTATTGTGGAAGTCAAAGCTGATACTTCAACTCCCAATACTTTTTTCCCACATGTCATGTTAACAGAAAATAAATAATTTTCATTTAACTTTACTGTTTTACTGAAACTCAGTCATACAATTGTTTTTAGGCATTAATCCATGGTTTGAACCGGCATTATTATTCTATATCGATAAATTATCGAAAAAACGAACTCGAGCAGAAAATGTTGTTGAACCTGCATAAAAAGTCATGGATGGATGGCATGGCCCTCGAGGATTACGAGAAACATTGCGATACAAATCGATCCACCGTTAAAGAAATGTTGGATTTGGCCAAAAGCTACAACAAGGTAAACCACACAACAAACGGTTATAAAAATAAATCACAAAATGTAATTTATGTATATCATTCAGGCTTTGGAAGATGAAGATAAAATGACACCAGAACAACTGGCCATCAAGAATGTAGGTAAACAAGATCCGAAAAGACATTTAGAAGAAAAAGTTGATACACTCATGTCTGCCAATATCATTCAATGTTTAGGGTCTATGCTCGATACGGTTGTATTTAAGTGATGACTTTTAAAGGCTTGTAAATTAAAAAAACAAAAACAAACTGGATTACCTAATTTTATTATACAAAATATTTCAGATTTTAATGAATCATATTTCGTACACAGTTCATGCAAATATTATTTATAGCTCCATATTATTTCATTTATATGTGTATATATAAAATTAATAATAAAAACAAATTAAAAGTGAGTGTTATAACGTATAAATTTAAAATTATTTACTTACAAAAATTGATTTCTCTAAGTCCTTATTTTTCTGTACTATTGTTTTAGTCAATCGTTTTACTTCAGTAATAAAGGTCTGCTATATGTGTAATCATTTGTAACAATAATTACAATTTATAAATAATAATTGCCACTTTATTTTATTAAGTTATTGTTAACATTTTGTAATATCTATAATGAATAATTTAAAAGTATTAAATGTAAATTAATATATTTTTTCTATTTTCTTATTATTCATATTTTTAACATGGACGTGTTCTTGGACTGAATTACTATTTTAACGCCACAGTTGGATAAGTCAGGGAAGGGAAAAAAATAACATATCCATAATTCTATGTTTTTCCGTGTAGTGGACAATTTCTTTTTATTACATTAATAATTGTACTTTTTTTTTACTATTTTTTATTATATTTAATTTTTACCACATAAAAAACGTATTATCTAAAGCAGAATACAATATAGTGAGTATTTTACGTGCACCAATATTTTTTAAAGTTAATTATCATATATTTGGTTACGTAATTGAAAATTTAACTGAGCAAATAAAATGAACAGCTTTGCATCAAAGATGAAATAGAAACATAGTTGTACCATGTCTCTATTATGGTCTTTTTAATCCGCAATATGCAAGAATCAACAAAACTGGTTTTATTTGAAGGCATTTTTTGAAAATATCCTGTAATATTAATCCTAAATAAGTCCCATGTGTGATGTATTAAACGTAATGTAAAAAGATAATTATAGCTTATAATTGTGTTGAAAATAATGGTACATTTTTTAAGACCTAGAAAATTAAGAATAGGTTATATAATTGTTTGACCACTGTAAATACATAAGAAATGATGTGCTAATGATGAAATTTATGAATATTTTCGAAAGACCATTCTACTAACAATAAGTACAAGCCATGTCTATGATAGAAATAATATTGATTGTAATAAAATTTAAATTTTCACATCAATTTGAATATTTGATTGATGTGCTAACATTTAAATTTCAGAACTTAAATGAGGTGATTAATGGCACGTAAAAACTTAGGAGGAAAAATCCAAGTACATCCTTAGCTAATAATATTTTATTTTATTTATTGTTTAATTTTTTAATTTTAACTTAGTTTTTTCACATGGTATTTATATATATATATGTAAGCAGTATAAGTACTGCTTAATTTTTCTAGTTCGAAAGTATGAAGTTTCAAGTAGTAAAAATATAAGAAGTTTAGGAGGCAAAACCGTTACTTAACCTAAATCCTTGTCCCATTGAATTCTTCTAACAAAATGTTATGTTTTTTTGTTGAATTATAGGTAACCATGGTTACTAGTATAAAATATATCTATGAAATCAGCAAAGAATTAGTTTGTAATTTATTTTTAAAAAAGGGTACATATAAGTTTATTTTTTATGTATATTGTATATAAGTGATATTTTCATACGATGCGATATTATAGAAAATGGTAATTTAAAAAGGTTTTGTTCTCTTAAAATATTTGTAAGTTACTTTTGTAGTCTTCATAATAGTATCTTAAACATGTAAGAATAGAATAACAATAATTATTTTTTAAATTTTAGCACTTACGTTTGCTATAGGTAAAACAAATTTATGCGACCAGTTTTTTATTTTTTTATGGTAAATAAATTTTTGAAGTACAAGATAGTTCAAATTAGTCCAAGAGGTTTAAACAAAAATAGTATTACGAAATTTTTACTAATTTTATGTATTATTTTCACATTTCCAGCTTAACAGATATTATTCATAATTATATATAACTTATTGATGTTAGTTTAACGTCTCGTGAAAGCAATTAAATTTAAGGTAATATAAGTATATGTATATTTCCGGCCGTGACTTTTTTTTATGAAAGCACTGTTGACTACTACTGGAAAAACTTAACACTTTGTAGAGCAAATTAAATTTTTAACAGAACTTCCTACATCTGCTTCTACAGCTAGAAAGTTATAGATCTCCGAATTTTCAATTTAACTACCAAGTATAAAATCAATATATTGTCTAAACTATCATTAAATGTAAACTACTTCGTATTATCACAGATTTAAAAATTTTTTTTTTTAAATCGACATAGACTGTAATAAAGCTTCCTCAATTGAATAAATAAAATGAAAATACGACTATCCAACGAGACGTCATCGTTTTTCCCACCAAACGGGCTCTGACTCGTGGAAAAAATCGTAAATGTTAAAAATGAATCCCTAAAGAAGCTAATACAAATGAATCTGAAAATAAATTAATGGGGTCCACATTTATTATAACCACTTTTTTGTCGAATATGGGCCCATATTTTGCCCCTGAATAAATAACCGATAGGCTCTTGAAGTATTGTTTTATAGTTGGCGGTAGTGTAATTTTGAAATTTGTATTTACATAGTCAAAAATTAATATTTACCTATAATATTACATAATTATAGTATAATAGTAAAAAAATTGAGTACCTTTAGAAAAGTTTTAAAAACTTGAGCTTTAGAGTATGGGTATGGTCTCATATTTTACTCTATATAAGAAAAAAAAAAAAATACTGAATCGGACAATCCAATAATACGATTCATACCTTATAAAAAAAGAAATGTATTAGTTAGAGAAGTAGAATGTTACTTTTGGCATCAGTAAAACTATCCGGAGAAACCTTAATAAAAGTTTAAACGGCCTACATGCGATGCATACATCGTTGCACATAGATAATACAGTATAATATACATGAGATATGGGACGGCGGGAGTACAGATGATTATTTGCTGTATGTAAGTGTACTCGATCATCAATAACGCGATGAGTGCACCGGCGGCGGCGGCGACGGCGACGACCGACGCCCACGATCGAGGAATCAGTAATTCAGTCATACGCGGGCGGCGAACGTTAAAGAGTTTTTCTTGTTTTCCGGCCCCGAACGCGTGCGAGGCGTGCGAGGGCGGAGGGTGGCAGAGGAAACAAGGGCGGTTTGCGGGGGCGACGATGTCCCCTACAGCGCGCCCGGCCCTATGTGCCGCCGCCACGCCGGGTGTTCGAGGGACTGCGCGGATCGATAGCCCAGGCAGCGTTCGCGTACGGGACGCACACACACGCGCGCGCCGAGAGCTTTACGCCGCCACAGTGCCTCGACTCGCGACCGCTGCCGCCGCTGTAACCGCTGGTCAACGCGTATACTTGCACATCCGTTCGGAATTTGACGTGTCGTTCGCGTACGCCTTACACGCACGCCAAACGTAAACCGTATCGTCGTTCCACAGCGTGTTCCGGAAGAAGAAATGTGAGTATCGTTTGTTTGTTCATTATTATAACGCCCAAACATGGCCGATAAGTGGCTATGGTGTAGCGCGCGGGCCCCTCTTCTACTATATGGCGTTATCGCCATCGAGTACTCATTATCGTCGTGTGACGAATGTTGAAGACAGATTTTGAAAATGTTTACGCCACAAACTGCTGTCTACGGTATTTAAGTTGACGGTGTTTTTTTGCCCACGAAAATGACAAAATCAACCGCCTCCGTTACCGCGTTTACCCAATCGATTTGTCAGCCAAAGGCGGCGTATTTATAGGTCATGCCCGTTCCCGACACACACGCCGACAAGTAATATTGTATTATTGCGACCATAATATTTTTATTGCACAAGCACTGCAGTCACCTTTGGCGGTGCACTTAATTGCCGTACGTATGTTGTCCGTCCAAAAATGTATACATATACATAGTACAACGTACCTACGACCTCGATAACACGGTACGCAAAAAATATACGAATAGGCGCAAACATGACCCGAATTAATAGCTGGTATATATATATATATATATATATACATAATAATATTAGCCCACGCGGCAGCGATAGCACCTGCGATTGAGTAAACAACCATGAGGGTCTAAAAAGCTTTAAAACAACCAAGTCCAACGATACCGTTTGATGCCTGTAATGGTTTTCATATTATTCGAATTCGAGCAGTGGTAGAGACTGTCGCATCGACGCTACAGCTGAGTCGGTGTTACACGCACTTAAATCTTAACGATAAATGGGAGTGGGCAAAATAACCAAATTGTTGTACTCATAATTTTTGTAATTATTATAATAGAAAAACCCTACCACGAGTTCGAAGACATCATTCACGTGGAACTTTATTTTGTATTTTGGTCCTGGCACCAATCGGCTAGAAAAAAAATAATCATTCCCGTTGTTTGAACTCTACTTGACCGTTTTGCAGGGCCGATGTTACCGGGAGTGGACTGGCTGCAGGAGATGACACGGTCGTTGGCGGCCCAAAAACACCACAGCAGATCGCCGCATCAAAGCGACTGCAACAAACGCAAGCACAAGTGGACGAGGTATGTTTTTGAAAATGTTTAAACCTCAAAAAAGGATTTTACTTATTTTATGTTTTTCGTTAATTCGCTTGCGTTAGGTGGTGGATATCATGAAGACTAACGTGATGAAAGTTTTGGACAGGGATCAAAAGCTGTCCGAACTCGACGACAGAGCAGGTTACTATTTACAAAATAAACGAAATATTTTAGCATCATAATATTACAATTAATTTGATCTTTATTATTATTACTTTTTTTTTTTGTACCGCGTAGATGCTCTACAACAGGGAGCGTCGCAGTTCGAACAGCAGGCAGGGAAACTAAAGAGGAAATTTTGGCTACAGAATTTAAAGGTGAGTACAATTGCTTGCGATCCAAGATGCTTAGGTAACCCCCGTTAACACCCTACGACCATTTCAACTCTTTTGAATTTTTGTTGTTCAACAAAGATAAGAGGCTAAGTCAAAACACGCGTCTCGATATTTCACACGAAATCGTGACAATGTATGCATACAATTTTTTTTCTTCTGGTAAACATGAAAAACCAAAATCACTTTTTTCATTATTCATAAACAAAAATCTAAAACTGAAAATCGCTATTCCCCGCCCAAACCTATCGAGTGTGAAAGGGTTGCGTACCTATCTAATATGCAATGTAAAATTTAGTATTTATTTAATAGCCGAGTGATTAACGTGTAAAACGAATAACCAAAAAGTTAAAAACTAGTAAGTTGCCTATACGGTTCGCCGTGTAAGTCCTTATAACATAGTCTCTGTAGAGTAAAAACAATGACCGCTGTACCCATGGCCGTTTAAACTTTAAACTCGATAGATAGGTCAGCAGTAGGGAACTATTAGTAGTTTACTGTTTACTGTTGAATTCGATAAAAAAAAAACACACATTTAATTAATGACATAAACAAAATATGTTTCAGATGATGATCATAATCGGTGTTATTGGACTTGTTATATTAGCCATTATTGTTGGTAAGTTCCAATAAGTTTTGATGACTAAGAATGAATGACGCTGCCGGAGAATTATACAAACTTATACATACCTACTCACTAAAAAAAAAAAAAAAACAACAATTAACGCATTATACAATAGAATATAAAACAAAATATTACTCGAGTTCAACTGTTATATCGCTCGGTTAGAAAAACACACAATATTAACAGAACCATTGTTTTTAAAAGCTTATTTTTTTTATTCAAAACTCAACTTCGTTTTTATCCTTAATAATATACTATTTAGTTAATTATGTATTTTCTATTATGTTATTTTTGTTGTTTAGTACATTTTTAAATACCTACTAGAACGTATAAAATATAAATTGATTAATGTGTTCAGCTTACGAATATCATTGTTTAGCTGAATTTAGAACGTGTGCGTTGTATTATAATATAAGATCTAATATCAATTTTTCCTGATTATTATTAGACTATAAATATAAATATTATTATTATTATGTTTAATGATACAGTATTATATGTATATGTGGTAGGATGACAGAAGTTGATGTGTCACTTTTTGTCGATTTTGGTGTAATTAAACAAATATGTTTTATAATAAGCATTGACCACCTGAAATGGAAAAATATGGTACACTTGGGTGCATTCATTATCAAGCTACAGTTGCTATAATTAATATTTAAAAACTCATTTTGCCGATATGTCAAAATAAATAGTTTGATTTGATGTCTAAAAATGATAAGTCTTTCTCTCCCTCCTTTTTAACATATCAATTTTTGTTTTTAATTTTTCAGTTTTAAATTATTGACAATATCAAAGGTAATTAATTTATAACATTTATAGAAATAACAAAACAATTTCGAAATTGTAGTATCAATAAAAAATAAAACTTCCCGAAATTTGGAAAAGTAACATATCAACTTGTATCGTCCTACTACGTATATAATCGATTTCTAGAGTTATTGTTTAGGTGAAAAGAAAATTAAATAAAAATTAATTGATTGTAAGACTTTAACGATTTTTCTTTTATTCATAATCAAAATATAACTTATGCCTTTTAGATACTGCCTTGTATGTTATGTGTACTATTAATACGTGGATAAGACTTACATTAAAATAAGTAATAACATAAAAGATGTTAAATCAAAACCGAAAATGGCCGAGAGCTTTGTGTTGTGCCTACCTTTTTTCACTAACACATACAGTACATCCACGAGAAAATTCAAACCTTAACATTTTACACATGACTTTCCACAACTAACCTAAAAAGTACTTTTATCTTAATTATTTAAACATTAGCCCTAGCCAAGTTAATGGTAAGCAACGCAGAAAACATTTATTACAAATTGAAAACATTAACAAACACACAATAAATACAAACGCAGCTGGATGAAATCGCTTTGTGTTGTGTGTGTCTTACATTTTTTCGTGTGTATGCGCATTGTGTGTTGTTTGTACTGTTTTGTTCATTTTCAACAACATGTTGCGAGCGAAACAATCTGTATATTATTAACTGCAATCTCGTTGGCTCTTAAATGTTTGAACGTATTCTTGTTGTGTGCCGATAATACTTGAAAATCGTTTTCTTCGGTTCATATCTAGGTAAATGTTTACTCTTAATAATTTATTATATTTCATACACATTTGATTTCGTCGACATTGTGCACTTGTTGTAATGCACGTAATACACGTATCACTATTGGTTGTTTATCGATTATTAAATATAGAAAAAATGCATAATGTCGCGCTAGACCTCGTACGGCCGCAGTAGTTGAGTACATCCTGAATAATTAGTTAAGTAGTAATATATTGTTAAACAATTTGTCATTGTCCGATTTTTTTTTTCTTCTTGATTCGTAACTTTAAACGAGTTACTCTAAAAATAGTTATAATTGCATAAAAAACAAATTGACAGCTGAATACATACATTTTTTTTAACGCTTGGATAAAACCGTCAGAAAAAAATTTGCCAATTGCATGCATACTTAGATTATCTGATAATTAAAATTTAAAACATTAATAATATGGTCCCGACAAAAATGTCAGTCGACTATTATTATTTTATAATTAATTACACCAAACTAAAATAGTATATAGTTATTAGCTCAATTCGTATATTATTCGTGATTAGACTCTATTACTTTACTACTCAATATTACTTTGTCCGTTACAATGAAAATTGTGTCTTTTTAAGTAATTGATATTTTTCATACTTTTTAACATTATCCGAAATTATAGTAATTTCAATACAAACTTATTGATTTTCATTTCATACTATAGTATAGTTTTTTTTTTACTTAACCAAAGATAATCAATAAGTGAACTTAACTTATTAATTTTGATATTAATCTTTAATAAAAGTTGCTTCGTGACTGTATAGGTTATTAAGCGTTTTATTAATAAATCTTGCTTGAATACATTTAAAAAGTAAAACAACAATTACTAATATAATTACGGCTAGATTAATTTTAAATGATTTCAATAAACAATGATAAATTACATGCTATTCTTTTAAGTGTAAACGCTGAGAACTAAACAAAAGAAATGTGTTATTTATAAATATTATTAGATAGAATAACAGTTTATTTATTAATTAAGCAATAGATTAAGCTAATGCATAGTGTAATTACTTATTACAAGTTTACCGGTCAATATAGTATAAAGATGCTCTCTTTCTACAAATATATTATAACTATTTTAAAAGCGTCAAGACTTTTTTCTTATATTATTCTTAATTTTAACGGATTTCATTACTATAATTAACAAAACGTCTGTATAAAAAAAATTGTACGGTCAAAAGACTGAGAAGTTTTATTAAGACAAAAAATATTGCAATTAAAGAAAAAGAGTATTTTTTTTTTTTAATTTAACTAACTTTAATTAACTTTAGAATATATATTTGACTAGTGTAGTGATAATAATAAAAAGCTGTGTAATTATAATATTACACTGGAACAAAATATTATTATATTATTTTATCGCTATGGTAGCTACAATATGTAATAAGTATTTTATTGATATGTAAGCTTTATGACGCATATTTAACATAGATTGAATTTATTAAAAATTATTTTTAACATTTTTTAGAATTACATAGATAATTTAAATACAATTTTTTTTTTCAGCTTGGTTTTCGGACGACTAAAACTCATCAACGACCTGAAATTTATTAAAGCTACCATACACCACCATTCAACAGCCGTCAAGTATGACATTTTAATCTTTAAGATGCAAAAAAATGAAACCAAAGGTGCATTAAAATAAATACTTATATATTATACGTTGTTATGATGTATATTTATAGGGGAAAAATGCTTTTGAAAAACTGCCCTTGCCCAAACATAATAAATGTAATTAATATAAATCGTATTTAATCGTTTAATTGTTATTTTTTAATAGTTATTTACTTTCTTTGCCGGTAGAAAATCTTAACTTTGGGTAAAATAATAGGTATTTATATACAACTAAATTAAAAAAAAAATAACAACTATGTAAATAGCGTTTTAAAAACTATTTATATTTTATAAATTAATTTTACTTCCACACGATATCGAGTTCGTTTTGTTATAGAATTTACTCACAACCTTAACTTTTGGTCTAAAATAATACAAAAACATAATTCTTACACGTTTTTAATATTATATTATTAGTATTATTTATACTAATATAATTATTATTGTTTTTTAGTAAATATCGTTTGTAATTTAAATATTTAATGTATTCGCTTATCTATGAAATTTTTAACACTACACGTTTAACGCAAAAACAACAGTTAAGCCAAATTTAAAGGAAACATAATATGCGTTTGTTTTTCGAATTAAACGACGTAGGTACCAAAGGTATCGACGAGAAGATCTACTTAAAAGAAGGATACGATTTATAACAATAATAATATTAGGGACGTCGTTTTAAATAATAATTTACAATTATTGTTTATTATACGCATATTATTATAACCTACAAATATACATATATTGTGTACTTTATATCTTATATTAACTAACAAAATTAAATACGAGTATGTATACTTAATAGTTTATACAATAAAAAACATCAGCTATTATAATATATTATTCTTATTTTATAATAATCTTATGATATTATAATAGTATATACATATATACTTATGTCAGAATTGAAATTGCAACCGTAACATATATACTAATATCATTGAGTGTAACTATTGTATATTGTAATAATAATATACTCAAAAATGTCAAATAACAGTTTTGTTTAAATTTGTTATGATTGTTTTAAATGCATGTTACCAAAAGGTCATATTTAATCGAATACAAAAATAGTCCGACCTCAGTGTAATGTGGTCTTACAAAACATGTTAATTGAAAGAAAACAATACTATGCTATGAATAGCATTTATCTTTGTAAAAATAATAGATATTGATTATATAATTATTGTATGGTGTATTTGTGTGGAAACAGTTGTTATGAACATTAAATGAACTCTGTATCGATTAATTATTATTGTTTACTACAAATGTCATGTATGATAAATTATCATAATTCATTACACAGCTACAATCCAATTATTTGACCAAATCGAATTTCCGTATTTGTTTACCACATTTATTACCTACGCTATATAATCTATTCGAAAGGAATATTTTAATTTCTAACTAGAGTAATTAGGAAGACCGAAGACGTTAAAAATTATAAATTTATTGTTCGGTCAACTGTGGTGAAATTTCAAATTAGTGTACCGTTCAGTTGGTTGACCAGTGTGAAGTGTTACATTTACTAGAATAGTATCTATGCTGATTGGTTCACAGTCTGTCTCTGCTTCAAGTATAAACGTATTCAGTAAGAGTTAAACTTATGTTTCCACGAAGAAATTGTAACGTAATAAGTATCTTATAATCAAAAGGAATAATTCAAGTGCAAAATCATTAAATAAATAATGGATTCTTTCGTTCGTTTCGAACAAACCATGTGTTTTTTTAATAGTCTATTAATTATCAATTAATATACAATTAAAACAAAAAGTAGTTTATCGATTACAAATAATAGTTATCATTAAAAACTATATAATTTTCAAAATTATAAAAATATATAATACTAGGAACGATAAGCTATAAAATGTGGTATGGTCAATGATGTTGAAATGTCAATGCTCTCTGTCGTACGCATGTGATTGTTAGTCGTATGACATTATTCGATACTGTCTAAGCAAATTTTGACAGTCACTTTGGGTCGTCGTAGTTATGAAAGTGACACCTTCCATTCGTATAAAACATAATTACATAATATTATACTGTACAACATCAACAGCCGAACGGTCTGTAGTCTTTGGCGAAGTAGTCTTCAATTTCGAAAAAGTGTTTGCCCAGTGTTTCGGGAAGTGCGGCGTACACGTGCACCGCCATAGCCAGCGAAGCGACTGCGAACACCGTGAACACACCGGGCACGGAGACGGCCTCGAACACTACCGGGAACATTTTCAGCACGAAGAACATAATGATGTACGCGTAGGATATTAGGAATCCGCCGGCGGTGGCCCTGTCGGACGTCGGCAACAGCTCGCTGACCAACGTCCACGGGAACACGAGCGCGCCTAACGAACTGCTGCAGACGAACATCATGATCCCAGTCAGCGGCAAGGCCACGTGAAAGTCCCACACGGACGGTTCCGGCGGCGGCGGGCCGTCCGCACCGGCGGCGACGGGCGCGTTCAGCTTGTACGTAGCGGCCACCAGCAACGACGAACACGCCATGCCCACAGAAGAGATCATCATCAGTGGCCGCCGGCCCACGTGCAACGACAGAGCGCAAGTCAGCGCACAGACGAAGAAACGGATCATGCCAAACGTCACCAACGTGTTCATTTCGTCAACCTGCCCGTCCGGCACTATCGATTTGAACACCGGCACCGCGTAAAAAATCACCGGGTAACATCCGCTGAGCTGTTGTAACAGGAACATCACGGCCAGTATGCCGACAGGCCGAAGTACTCGTGGGGACAAACGGCGGGCCAGGGTAGACTTAAACAATAACGGAATCGCCGGGGGTACGTTCAGGCGGTCCCATTCGTCCGAATACAGCTATAAATGAATTACAAAAAACAAATATTGAGACAGCATAACAATTTGTTACCTATAATAAATGATACACGAATTATTTTGAACATTTTTTTTTTTTTTTAATTACAATATCTGGTATAATATTATATTTGATATAATAATAACACGTCAACAAATTATACAAAATAGAAACAATTTAAAGGTTGTTAGACAGGGTTGCATTTTATCCCCATTACTGTTTAACCTATAGGCAATGATGATAGAACTAAAAAAACAATTAGAATAGGAGGAAAAACAATCAATACACTTAGTTTTGCCTAAGGTGCGGTTTTCTTTACAAAAACAATATTATATACACCGTATGTCGTCGGATTTTGTTGATATCAGATCAATTCTCAAACAGCTTAACTTTTATCAATTGTTTAAAATTTACTTAATTTCTGTTTTTAATTACTTTAAAAAAATTTTGTCAAAAATTCAATTTACCAAAGTCCAAAACCTAACAAATAGTTTAAATAATGATGTGTCCACTCGATGCGTTCGAAATGATTGTGTATATTTTTCGCACGCAAACAATTTAAGCAGATAAGAAATAATCATATTAGTATCAAATCGAAACTATCGACCAACTCAAGAAACCGAGTTTTGCATATTGTAGTCATTTTAACAATTGTAAATATTAAAAAATAATCAAATTAATGTAAACTTTTTCGGTAGATAGGAAACGTATCAAAGCTGTGGACAGCTAATAGAAAACCCTGAAAAACGTAGTCCGCTCATATATGATTACAAATAATGCATACAAATCAACAGTAACGCAAATGATGTTATTGAAGTGTTCAATATTGATAGTATGTATACCCGGTGGAGTGCCTCATACATTTTGATAATTCATACGAAGGTATAGGAAAAAGTCAAAACTCAGTGGGGAGTATTTGTACTGCAGTGTGCCGTTCCTATCGGACATCAGGCGTATGTGTATTTTAGGAGTATTCTGTATTGGAACTAAAAAAGATATGAATTATTTTCTGCTTTTCATACCACCACATCACGTGGTAATAATTCTACACTCCTATCGTCGTTTTTAAACGTGCAACTATGTAATGCGAATGATAATTTTCGAGTAACAAACAAAAGGTACTAGGTAGGCAGAATTTAAAAAAAAAAAAAAGGACAAAATTGCTTTTTGTCAATAGTTTTTTTTTTTTTTTTTACTCGGACGGCATACTTTGTTATTGTTGGGGTATATCGTTTTCAACGATCCTTTGGCACGACGAACGTCTTCGCTTCGGAACTTGACGATCCAGGACGGGCTTTCCGGTAGGAAAACGGCTATGAGCAGCATGGTGACAACGGTGAAAATGAGAAAGACCACATTAATAGCTGGCCAAGGAACCGTATGGCCGATCATTACAGCGAACAATATACCAAACGCCAAAAACACGCTGTTCAGAGACAACAGCACTTGTTTGTACGAAGACATGGCTATTTCCGATACATAGACCAGGGACACCGTTGTCATTCCTGAAACAAGTTGCCGTTCTGTCAAATAAATAGATTGTTATACAAAATATGAACGATATGTTCTCACTAATATTTATGTACCTCCGCCGATTCCGGCAAAAACTCTACACGCGTAAAACAGACCAATATGGTCTGGGAATATCGTGGCTATCGAAGCGATCGACCAAGCTATTAAGAGCGGTACGCAAGTCAACAGACAAGCTTTTTTCCTCCCTATCCGGTCCATGATTACACCGATTAAAACTGCTCCGATCGGTGTACACAGCACCAACATACTCGCTGAAACCAATGACGATAATAGAAAAACAAGTTAAAAAATATACATACATTTAACGCGGAACACTTAAATAATACATATTGTGTAAATCTAAATTAGTCGTCGATTGTTTGAATCCATTGTCAATGGCCAAACGAGTACAACGTCGTGGGTTATTACTTAATTACAATCGGCTTTTGTTAAAAAAAAAAACGCACAGTATAAACCAGCGTGGTAAGAAAGTTAACAAAGTGGGGGTAACCGCTAAGGCTTAGTTATTAATCCCGTATTCATTACGGCTCAGCCAAACGGGCCATATGCGAATTTTGGGATGGTATAAGAATCCAGCACATTAAGAAGTTTACTGACTCTCAATTACAAAAAAAATGATTTATAATTTAACGTAAACCAGGCTGTTGTTATGACTTGTGTTTAAACTTTTAACTATGCTTGATTTCTAGTTTCTACATAACTGGAATTTATTTACTATTTATACATGATACAACGCGCATTGAATTAGATAATATAAAAAAAAACATTTTTTGCATTAAATCTAAAGTTTTACCGTTTATAGCAACAATTAAAATTATTTTTATTTTTGAAAATCAAGACTAGATGTATACATTTGGCAATAATTTGTAGTCGTTTATTTTTTATGATTTTTCAGGATACTTCTAATACACTCTACAACACACATAAACGATTATTACGTTAAGCTAATCTCGTTATCTCAAATGAAAATCACTACGTTTTTATCGACATTTTTTTTAAAGGTGAAGGTACACATACTACATACAGCGTGAATGCGTAGTGCGATAGGTACTTTGTTGTAATATTTATTGATTAGCGGCACTGCACAAACTTACTTAACCATGAATATTGGGAAGAATTCGAAATGTTAATGTTTCTCAATAGAATATTCGAGTAAGTCATATTGATGCCCGGCTGGACGACCAACATGAAAGCTATAACGCTCGCAAATACCTATTAAAACAACAAAACCGAGTATTTCATTACTATTTTATGATCATATATAGTACAAATAACAGCAAACAATTCGAGTAGGTATTGAGGCACTAGTTTTAACGTTGCAGTTACCTGTGGGAAGAGATCTCGCCACGTGAGTCGACCGTTCACGGTGGTTTCTTTGTTTTCTTCTTCGTGGTTTATAGCTATATGTAAGTTACCACTACATTAATACAAAAAAAAAAAATTCTAATTTATGACAAACCCATTATTTTTCGATAGTTTTTCAGACAATGTATAATTTAATTTTAATTTTTTTTTTTTTTACTTACAGATTATTTAACTGTGTTTGGTATGTTCTCCAAGTGGGCACGTCTTTTGCAATCAATGGCGTGTGGTATGTACTCTTTATTTCCACAGCCATGTCAACAAAAAAAAAAAAATACTGTTAAAAACGTAAATCGACCGAATAATATTTATTGGCCATATAATAATATAATGTGTTAAGAATGGTGTTTATCAGACTGACTAGTAGGTTTTCCCATCATAGTGTTCATCAATATTCACGGCGTTATCACTGTGTTACAATTTTGTACCTATATCTTATTTGACTGGTAGAGGTGTATTGTTGAACCATAATAATATTATAGTGTATTGTAAACGAAACAAATAAGACGCAGCACGCGGTAAAAATGCGCCTAAGGTGCCTCACAGACATTGTTTTACTTAAAGCGCTATCTGTTTTAAAGAAATCACAGATTACTTTTGTCAGCGTTATATCTACATAGTATTTTTGTACATGCACATTTATAGTAATTACTAATTATCTATAAAAGTACAAAATATTACATTTTACAGTAATAAATAATTATAATGAAAAAAAGAGGCACACGAGTAAAACTGTATAAAGTCATCTCGGCTGACTAGACGTTCTTTATCATACTGATTTTATATTAAATTTTCTTTATAATAATATATTTATCTGAAAAATCACCGATTTTTAACATTTTTAGTATATACTATTATAAAGTATATTTGTCTCTCATCAGTCAATTTTACACTCCAAACATTAAACGCTAAAACAAGGCAAATTAAATTGGTCTAGAAATAATACGACATGATCAATCATCAAAATGTATTAAAACAAAGTTGCCCCTTAATTTGCAACAATCGAATAAAAACTTTATATCCTATTAATTGTTTTGTTTGGCGTTAAGAACTTTGACTTTCTTGACTCAATATATCTTCTACAGTAGCATAGTAGTCAACTCTAGAGTCTAGTGTACTCATATTGCCGCAGTCCTGTGTTTATGTAGGTGCATACTTTTTTTACGTTTAAGTTGTACGTGAATATACCATACTAGTAGTGTTTTTCCATAAGTTTAAAAATGTATTCACTACACCAATGAAAACGTCCAGTCACATACGTAATATTGTAATTTGTATAGTTATTTATAATCGGTCAGGTTGAGGGTTGTCAGCGTGATAAAATAAAATGAAAACTGGTTTCTTCATGTACACGTATTTATACTGGTTATAAAACAATAGGTAATACAAAACAAATATTGTATTGTTTAAACTAGAGAAAAGTATTACTGTCAAAATACTTCACTCGTTTATTTTTATCAAGTCTACAGCGGAGCACATGAAAACGACGGCAACCACACAAACATTTCTGATATAGATATAACAAAATGAGAGGCACAATATATAAATATATTTTGATAACGGTAAGTCGTATACGAAAATTAAATCGTTTTGTGCTTTCCAAAGCCGCTACCGATCTTCCTGAGCTCATCGAGCAGAATATAATAATTTGCCCCGCAAGAAATACTCTTCCATTTGTTGAAAGCTTTTGCCCAGCGATTCCGGTAACAGCAAATACACGTAAGCGGCCATCGTCAGCGATACCAACCCAAAAACCGCAAACGTGTTGGCCGCGCCAAGCGATGCCAACAAGTGCGGGAACATGCGGAGCGTGGTGAACATGGACAAGTAACCGTAGGATACCAGTAATCCGCCGCCGACAGCCCTGATAGACGTAGGCAGCAGTTCGCTGATCAACGTCCAAGGGAACACGAGCACGCCAATCGAACTGCTCAGCACGAACACCATGACGCCGACTAACGGAACGGACAAGCCAGTCAACCCGATCTGATCTGAGCCGATCGGCGTCTGTTGCGAGCCAACCGTCAATGTCACCGTAGCCGACGACAGAGCCATGCCCAAACACGAAACCACCATGAGAGGTCTGCGACCGAAGTAAAACGACAACAACGACGTGGCGATGCCGCCGACGAACCTGATGACACCCAACAGCGCCAGTGTTTCCAGTTCGTTGGCCGATCCGCCCGGCACGATCGACTGGAACACTGGCAGCGCGTACGATATGGTCATGTACGCGCCGCTGCACTGTTGCAGGGTCAGCAGAACGACCAATATGATCACTGGCTTGTAAGCGGCCTGGCTGGTCCGCAGTGTTTGGAAAAACGTCTGCTTAGACTTGTCGTTTGCGTAGTTGTTTCCATTCTCGTTTAGGACGTTCCGTTCGGTATTGAACAACTATAAAAAACCAACAAACTGTCTTGGATATTTTAAATTGTAATAACACTCCAATGGATATTTAAGTTTTTACTCGAATGTTGTGAGGATAAATCTGTTTTATCGCACGTTTCCCTTCGATCTCGTACTCCGGACCTTTGAACTTGAATATCCACACCGGACTTTCCGGCATGCATATCACTATCAACGCCATGCTGGCCACGGTGAGCGATACAAATGTTATGGTGATGGCTTTCCAGTCGAGAAAGTTGATCAACAGCGTAGATAGCAATATTCCGGCCGAGAAAAACACACTGTTCAATGACAACAGAATTTGTTTGTAAGTGGGATGAGCTATTTCCGACACGTACACGATGGCTACCGTAGTCATGCCTGGAACATCGTCGTATATTGCTAAATCACATAAACTATTATCCGCCTAATAATAGTTAACTCTTTAAGTACATTGGGATTGATTTTCACCGGCTGAGAAATTTCCGAAAAAGCACCAGCCGTGTTCGGGGTATCTTAACAAACTATAGAAACCCTGCTACTGAACAAATACTCATGGCAAGGTACGAAAAGTGTCAAATTAAGTGATATAATTTTAAGTCAATACGAACCTAAAAGTCTTGGACTGTGGAATTCCCCATAAACACATATATTCTTTTACCTACATAATTAAATTTCACAAAAACGTTAGCACTTTTTGCACCCAAGCTACTAGATTTATTATTTTATTTCAACACAGAGTTTTTTCTTCGCACCTTCGCCTCTCGTTAAACGTTTTTACTGCGCTTCCAACTCACTGCACTCCGCAGGTTATTCAACGTCCTTACCAGAGCCGATGCCGGCGAATATCCTGGATATGTAAAACAACGCGATATTGTCGTTAGTCGTAGCCACGGCGAACAGCCAAGAAGCTAATAGCGGTAGACAAGTCCAGAAACAAGCATTTTTCCGGCCAATTCTGTCCATGAGCGGACCGATGAAAATTGCTCCCAAAGGCGTACATAAAGGCATAACGCTAGCTTTGAGTAAAAAAAAAAAAAAATTACAACTCTAAGTCACTTTATAGTCACTTTATTCATGCGATTAATTTTTTCAAGCAGATTAATGTGCTCGTATCTACGCTTTTAAAATATGTACACAATGTCATTGAATTCTTACTTATCCATGAAAATTGAATTCTGCTTATGTATGGAAAATGATGTAATAACACGTTTGAGTAGGCTAAATTGATTCCTGGCTGAAGGACTATAAGGAAGGCTACGAAGCTAGCCAAAACCTTAAAACGAAAACAAATATGTCATTTTTAATAAAATATATAACACGCATCACCGTAAATCCAACACTTTATTAGCATTGAATTATTTTCTACATTTTTTTTTTTGAAAATATTTACAATCTGTATTAGTATACACAATAAGTAAAATTTAAAGGCTAATTTTCATTTACAAAGCTGGACGACTTGAGCGAAGGGGGCGTCCATTGACACTACTTCAGATTTTTCATTCTACATTATAACAATTATTTCATTTATAATAAAAAATGCTGACCTGAGGGTATAGTTCAGTCCACGTCAAATGTAAATCCTCGTCTTGATTTCTGACTTCTGTGAAAAAATGTCTATCAACACTATAAAGAAAAATCCATAAAGTCTTCATTAATTGTTTTACTATTTCAATAAAGTTACTTATAAGATGGTTAAAAAAAAACTATTTAGAAATAATTTTGAATAGATTTTTTTGACGTTGATGCTTAACGCTTACAAGATGTAAAATAAAAATTTAATTTCAAAAGGGTAATCATAGTTTAATAACTTATCTTAATTCCTAATAGCTATATATGACATTTAACGTAGGTATATCTTAATAATTGGGGAATGTTTGGACTGAGCCCCACGAGCCGATATAAGACCGATTTTTAAAACCAGTCCCTAACCCTCATAAATAATTTCTGGATCCTAATTAAGTAGAACTAATAAATAATATCTGTTACGAGTATCCAAAGTTCAATTCGAATGTAATTATTAATTATAAATATCAAAAAAAAAAAATAAAGCTAATACTTTAAAAACCTTACGCTTTATCTTCCTCATTGAGGTCGTTTGGATTCTTTTTACTATTTTGAGCACCGCCGTTATTTTGAAGTCGTAGATCAGTTACATCTGAAAATGTCGATAATGTACAACCAGCTCACATTCATGATTTACAATTATTTACATGGTTAACTTTTGTGCAATTTGCAAATAACTCAATTTACATATTATAATTGTTATAATTTGTTACGAATTGATTTTTACAGCCAATATTTAGTATGTTAATTTTAGCAACTAATTACACGATACAGGTCGATTCATTAAGACGCTTATTTCTCTTAAAATATTTGTAATTTTGTAGTTCATGTTCACCCATTGCGTATCCCCCAAATGACCCCACTGAATAGTCATCATAAACTGACTGGGACTGGGACCGAGACCCTTAAAAAAGAGAGGGACATAATCAATATAATGTAATGTACATAATATGTAGATAAAAAAAAAAAAGCCGAGACGCGGTATGCTAAAGCTTTACAATATACAGCTTGGTAATTTGATGAAAGTAAGTATTTTTCTTGTAACTATTGACTTTGATTCATTCGCACATAGCAGACTGGAAATACAGGATGAGTGTGATTTCCCCCCTTTTTTGGATTTTTTTTAAATAAAAATAAATACTACAGATTTTTGAGAAAATTTTATACGTTATAGCACATCACTCGCTATAACAGATCCACGCTAGCAGATCCTCCTTTTCTAGGATGCACGGTTTATTGATTTTTTATGTGATTTTCGACATATATCGATAGTACTATACATAGAAAAATATGCCATATCATTTTTAAACTATTTCGACTATTTTTTTAAATTTATAACACGCTGTTACAGGTAAATAAATTGCATCTAAATCGTGTTACAAATTATAACTATAACCGAGTTATAGGTTATAATACATGTAACTTTTCTACGAGCAGCCCTGATGATATATAATAATTCAAATAAGCTAAATTAGATGTTATTGATCAAGTTTCTATACGTTAAAATTGAATAAAATACTCTGTTTAATTAGTTAATTTAAAAATCAATGAATTAAGTCAAGTGAAATAATGTTTTTTTCCATCTATAAACCTAAATTATTTTTTTAATTTTAACTAATTAGATATATTTATTACTAAAGAATAATTATTTTTTTAAAGTTATTATTGGTTGTTTAAAAAAATAAAATGTAAAGTATATGATTTATGACTATAATCATAACTGAAAATTACTTTAATTTTAAATGTGTTAATTTAATCGGTCTTATGAACGTTAATAATTATTAATAACAAATAATATTATTTAACAAACCATAATTCTCCATTGGGATGATGTTAAACGCGGTAACACAATTCTGCCCTTTGACACTGTCCATAATGTTGATCTACATAAATACAACTAAGTCAATATAATGTTCTATGATAATAAATAATAATTAAGTTGAAAAAAACGAAGTAGTTTAACAAAGTATTTTATAAGTGGTGTCCATTGTCGTTTAAATACGGCGATAGATTTAAAAGAAATGTTTATAAATATGTAACATATCTTATGAGCATTACGCACTGCATTGCAACTAAACATTGGTATCATACATTTGTAATTCGTAGATAATATAAGTAAGTTGTTATTATCTAAAGTTGCTGTTTGATAACCTCATTCCAACAGTATTAATCACACTAGTGTCATATTTGTCTACATACCTATTCACGTATTTGATATTACTCGGGTACTGATTGCGTACGCGTTTTTTTACACGCTGTTAGATAGATGACTTTCATCTATCACAAAAATGTGATAATTTGCATTTTTTTTATGTTCACACGTTTCAGATGTAACTCTAGTAGGTACTGGTTATAATTATATTATATTATTATTATTTTGATTAATAGCAATTAAACTGTAAAATAATTTTTAAGTTTTGTTTGTTTTAAAAATTACTCAGACTTAGACAGAAACACAGGACTCATGGCACCAACATCAATCCAGTCAAGTACTATTATATGTAGATCACGCTTTGGCTGTATTTGAATCGACGTTTGAAAAACTTTAACACAAAAAGAAAATACTAAGTAAATTAATTGATATTTTAAAAAATGACAAATTAATATCGAGCTGGGTTAATGAAAATGCAAATAAGCGCGCATGACCACTATGTTTTTATACCTAATAGAAAAATGTTTAATACAAATTGTAAAAGTTTTAGTCATTCAAAACAATTTTTACTTACATCGCATCAATCCAAATTAGCTAAATAAAAAATTTTAAATCAAATTTAAAATATATACTCAAATTAACCGTTTAATTTATTATAACATTTTTTGGTAGCATTATGTGAATTCGTATTCGTGTGTTAAAATGTAAATATTGTGTTTGTATTTTAATTATCGTTACGATAAAATCGTTTAAATTGCAACCGCTTATATATTAGAATATAGATGTTTTATGCGATTTTTTTGTATTTTATATCTATATTCTAATATCAACGATAATACCAATAGCAATGAAATATTAATGCCATGACGTACGATACTATGTTGACTTGGTCAGAAAATCATTGGTTTTTAATCATCATTGAAATAAACTTGTATACCAACTAAAAATACAAATATTTAATAATAACATATTTTATAATTAGATTAGCTGTAAACAATTTCACAGCATCCTTTTTAAGAACGAGCCTAATTTCCGTTACACATAATCAAAATTACTGCGCAGTTGTTGTATACAAACTGTTTCTATTATTAAACTACTAAGTAATGATTAATGTTTTTATAATGACTTCATAGTGTAAGTACTTAAAGTATGACAAGAACTGTTAATTATTTTAAATAAAATACTAAATAGTATTAAAAAACCACCAATAGGTGTTTTCAAAATGACAAAAAAATGTTTCAATTATTATTTAATAACGCACACCTTAAAAGTATGTTAAAGCACTCTTAATAACTACTTAATTAGTGTAATCGAGCATCAAAACAACTAATTGCACATCAAATTTTAATTCGTATATTACACAGATCAACAATAAAAGAAAAAGACAGAGAGCATTTTGTATTGGGTGAAAAAACACGCGATAAACAATATTGAAATATATCAAGCAATGTTTAAAACTATTTCGAGCGAGATTCGATATCACTAATGTACAGCCGATAAATTTAAACAATTTTACAATGCTCAGTTGATGGATGAAATATAATTATATAAAACCAAATTTATTCAAATTAATTATTTAGAGTAAAATCATTAATAATTCAAATATAATAAGATTTGATTATAGGTTACTTAAATAATATACTATATATATTTACATATTATCTTTAGACAATAAAAACAAGTTATTAAAAAGCTATAGCCCAATATAATAAAGAGCATATCATGATGGTCTGATCGTGACTTTCATATTAACGTCAAGTCATCGTGATATAGACTCTATATAATTGATATCCTATTAATAATAATTGTTGTAATTTCTTTAAGTGTATATAATACATATTATGTAACAATAATGAACTCGGCGTCCATTTAATCAATATTAATCTAAATAGGAACTTTTAGAAGTACCAATATATATATCTTATAATAAATACTGATAATAAATGTTCAACAGCAGTATTAAAACTCAAACACGGTAGACGGTAGTATTTAAAAAATAGATAAATGTAATTGCGTTCCTTGCATACTCTAATTTAGTTCATGTACAAAACTAATAATATTTTATCAAAAGAAAAAATGTAATTAAAAATTACAAACGAACAAAGTAGGCTGAACACGACGATACGACGAAATGCATTAAGCTAAGGCCCAACTGAAAGCGATTCCGCAATTTTACAAGCCAGATGTCCACCAGCGATTTTGGTGGGGACACTTTAGCGTTTTTTTATGTCGCGCGTGTTCATTTCTACATTCATTTTCAAATGCATTTTAGGTCATTAACATCCAAGCTCTATTTGTATTTATTTTATTACTAGTATTAAAACATATAATTCATAATAACTAATTTAATAAACATAAATATATAACATTAAATAATTAAATTACCATCAATTTTATCAATTTTAAGGTTTTGTCCTATAACAGACCTACAACACCTCAGGACTTTGTTTCGATTTCTGTGGTCTGGGTGTCTCGGATTCCATATATGGTTCTTGTAGGTATACAGCAGCAGCAATTTGTTCTGACATAACCGACGATGATACCATTTTAACAGCGATTAATCGCCGAAAATCAAACAATTTTGTTTTTTCAGCGATTCTCGCGCGTGTAGCTAAAATCGCTAAATCGCCAACACGCTACACGCTATCGCAAAAACGCAAATCGCTCTCAGTGGGGCCTTAGCTTTAGGTATTTAAAAGACGTGTATTTAACATAACACTGAGTTTAGGGTTTCGACGACTCAAAGTAGAAATAAAACCATTATTCATTAGTATTAGTGTAAAATAACGAAAAATAAAAAAAATAAGAGCAATACAAATATAGAAGAGACAAACAAAACAAAAACAACTGAAATTAATAAAAAAGTTTTAGATTGACTATTTCGACTTTTTGACTCCTGACTATTCTGTTGAAATTAATAATAATAGGCGACCTTTATTTCCTCAGAAAGTACTCTTCGATCTGTTCAAAAGTTTTTCCATTCGATTCTGGTACAAACAACAACACAAAAACGGCCAATATCAGCGATACCAACCCGAAACCGACAAACGTGATGGCCACGCCAAGCGATGTTAATAAATACGGAAACGCGCGAAGTGTAAAGAACATGGACAGACAACCGTAAGACACTAATGAGCTGCTGCCGACGGCCCTGATAGATGTGGGGAGCAATTCGCTGGTCAGCGTCCAAGGGAACACGAGCACGCCAATCGAACTGCTCAGCACGAACACCATGACGCCGACTAACGGAACGGACAAGCCAGTCAACCCGATCTGATCTGAGCCGATCGGCGTCTGTTGCGAGCCAACCGTCAATGTCACCGTAGCCGACGACAGAGCCATGCCCAAACACGAAACCACCATGAGAGGTCTGCGACCGAAGTAAAACGACAACAACGACGTGACGATGCCGCCGACGAACCTGATGATACCCAACAGCGCCAGTGCTTCCAGTTCGTTGGCCGATCCGCCCGGCACGATCAACTGGAACACTGGCAGCGCGTACGATATGATCATGTACGCGCCGCTGCACTGTTGCAGGGTCAACAGAACGATCAATATGATCACTGGCTTGTAAGCGGCCTGGCTGGTCCGCAGTGTTCGGAAAAACGTCTGCTTAGACTTGTCTATTGCGTAGTTGTTTTCATCGGCGGTCATCTCGTTTAGGAGGTTCCATTCGGCATTGAATAACTATAAAAAACCAACAACATATCTCGGATATTGTAACTGTAATAACACTCCAATGGATTTTTTAGTCTTTACTCGATTGTTGTGAGGATAAATCTGTTTTATCGCCCTTTTCCCTTTGATCTCGTACTCCGGACCTTTGAACTTGAATATCCACGCCGGGCTTTCCGGCACGCATATCACTGTCAACGCCATAATAGCCACGGTAAACAAGGCAAACGTGCTGGTGATGGCTTTCCAGTCGAGGAAGTTGATTAACACGGTAGAAAGTAATACGCCGGTCGAGAAAAACACACTATTCAAAGACAACAGGAATGACTTGTACGTGGGATGAGCGATTTCCGACACGTATACTATAACCACTGTTGCCATACCTGCAACGTCAATATAAGCACCATAAAGCATAAAGGCTTTTGTCCGCGTATTGCATTGGTGTTGATAGTATTGTCTACAAGTCTTGCTTACCGCAACCAATACCCGCGCATATTCTGGACACATAAAACCAAACTATGTTGTCGAACGTCATGCCCACGGCAAGCAGCCAGGAAACTAAAAGCGGCAGACATGTGCAGAGACAAGCATTTTTCCGGCCAAATCTTTCCATGATTGGGCCAACTAGAATCGACCCCAGGGGCGTACACAAGGGCACAATGCTGGCTTTTAATAATACAAATAAACAACGTTAAAAAAATATGTAGGTAATAATTTTATTTAAAGTTTCCTCACATCAATATAATGTCTCAGATCACGTAATACAATTAAATAATAGTTTTGTATGTTATTGGTAATAGTGTAATATAAATTTGACAGACAAAAGTAATTTTTACTATATATTTTGTATTAAGTATTTATATGAACATGTACTTTTTCTTATTTAAGATTTAAAAATACATTGTATCCATACAGTCGAATATTACTAATATAGAAAAATCATTGTTATATGATGGTTTTATGTTATAAACTTAATTCATACAAACAAAATGATTGTACAATTCAATCCTTACTTAGCCACGAATACTGTGATTTGTTCATGTTCGGAAAGCTATGTAATATAACATTTGAGTATGCCATATTAACACCAGATTGGAGGATCAACAAGAATACTACAACACTAGCTAATACCTTAAAAGTATACGAACAATTATTATTGAAAATGTATACATTTTATTTTGATAATTGTGACTGACCTGGGGATATAAATCGTTCCATGATAATTGTAAAATTTCTGTCTGATGTATGTCTTCTTTAATGAAGTATTGTTCATCACACCTATTAAAATCGTTCAACGTAATTTAACCGCAAAATAGAATAATGAATTGACTTGAAAAATTTAATAAGATAGAATTACGATACATAAATATATATCTAAATGAACACCCACTTATTATAAACTATATAGACTATATAAACTATATTATATGTATTCGAATTTATGTCATTTTTATCTTACTTTTCATCGTTGTCCAAATAATTTGATAAATTTATATCACTATATTCATGTATAGTACTTGAATTTCCTACAATGAAATAGTAAATTATATTAAAACTATTTTATACATCTGAATATTTGACAAAAAAAAAATGAAACAATGTAGAATTTAGAATAAATTACACACATGTAATTTTACGAACCATATTTATCTCTCTTGGCGATAGTATTCTCGGAAATACTCTTGTGTCCTTTATCCATTTGATATCGATTACCTCAAGAATGATATTACATACAAGAAGATTCTAAGAAGAAATATCTCGAAAAAATACCCTGTAAAACAACCATAATAAAAATAAAGAAATGTTGTATAATCGTTAAAAAAATACAACAAAAAATACAACAAAAAAAGTACAACCGAACTTAAATTGGGATCATGTTAATAAAACGACATTTGTAGTCAAATTTGGTTGATATTGGAAATATTTGGAAGAGTCACAATACCATTACAGAATAACTACATATTACGAATGTTTTGTTAACTTAGATTTTTTACTGTTGTAGTAACAATAAGTATTAATAGGTAATTAATTAATCAATGTGTTGTACTGTAATACAATTTTAAAAAAACTTAAGCTGTTACAAACTTTAAAAAAACACACATATTGTAAAACCAATACTTACACTCTACAGCAAAGAAAGTATTACTTTTGTGTCGAAGCTAAAACAATAAAATTATTAAGTGCAAAGTCAAAAGTATTAAAGACAACATACTGTAAGTATTCAAAAAATTATTTTATTTTATTTCAATTTTAACGAAATCTATAAAACTATGTCGTAAAAATAAAAAAAGATCGCATTATGTGGTTAGATGTCACAGAAGACTGAGCTGGTACGTTATTCCTATTATTATATAATGCATAGGTTTTTTTTAATAATTAAAGGAATGCGTCATCTCGAGGTTATCAAAATGTAACCCCGTTTTAATTATTAATTAAATTAATAACGAAATTATTTATTGTCTTTTTCAAATAGGATTTTACTTAAATTGCAGTAGGTATCTAGTAAAAGCGTCACCAGCGTTGACTAATTTCAGCGGAGGGAAGCATGTAATCGCCGCCTCCTCTCTCGTTCATTTCATTCCAGATTGCTATTACTATATCTGGTACGGAATCATTAAAAGAATAATATTTAAATAATTATGTGTGTTATTTGTTCTTATATTTATATATATATATATATATTTTTATAAAAGGGCCGATCGGGTCAAACATTTGATTGCTGTAATTTGACTACTGGCGATCGACTACAAATAGCTACCCAACTCTTAGACCATTTATATAATAGTAATTTATTAGTTATAGCGGCTACCATATCTAACTAAGTTCAATCCCAACTAGCCAAATTCTAATAGGGTAATGATAATTCGTAATTATTCTATGCAGACGTTGAATTTAAACGAAATGATTACAATAATTGTTATGTATACCGTACTTACATAGTTACATGGTAAAAAAAAATATCGTAATCCAAGAAATTGACAATTATAGAATTATCTTATTGTCATTACTTCTCTATCTGGAACCTGGGCGTTTTCTGCAGTCAGTCCAGGTAAGTGCGGAAATAAATGAACACGATGCGCAGACGACCGAATGAAAATAATAGAATTGCAAAACACAAAAATGAAACATGTTAAATTTTACTAATAATTTAAAATATGTAGTGTTTTGTGTAACCTCTTAGTTCATTGTTACGCGTGCATCCGTTTCCCCCATTGTCTTGCACGTGATACATGCTAATGATGATTTTTGCTACTTAAACTTAATTTGTATGCGAAAATATATAATATGACCGTTACAAGATAAACGCGCACATAAGAAAGTAATCGTTTCATTAAATTTTTTTTACATTGACTATAACATGGTACGTTGAAAAACGGACAACCAAAATTCATTAAACATTTTTTGGTTATCTGTTTTTTGAAAGCCATTAAATTGTCTTTTTCGTAATCCAATGCTACTTTAACATTCGACTATATTAAATATAATCGTTCATCGTTTATATAGTACTTAATCGATTATAATAATTTTTGTTAAATTAATAGCTAGATTTACAATTTATGTCCATAAAAAAAACCAGCGCAGTGAGGTCGAGGCATAGTGAGGTTGGGAAAGGCTACAGAATTATTTCAACTGAAGTCTGAAAGTGATAAGATAATTTTAAAATAAACGTTTCAATGCAAAACTTCAGATAGTCCAAACTATTAAATAGAAATAATTGTATGGACAATATAAATGTGTTTATAATCATATTGATTGACTTATTGGAGATTTTTCAAAAAAAAGATATTATGTGTCACAAAAATTTATAATTTTGGAAAAAAACTTACAGGAATTTATAAACAAAATCCTAGAAAATTAGGAGGAAAACGTAGCTTACATCAAAGGATAACCTTATGTTACCTGACGACAAAGGTAATCGGCAATGATATAAAATATCAAAAAAAAATCACAAAAAGTAAACATCATTAGATAACAATATTCAAATTCATAAGAAGAAATTTAACTGGACATTTTTGGGAAATTTGTACCTATATATTATTGGGTGACACTAGACCTATTTTCAGTATAATTTTCAAGCTTCCAGTCCTAAAACTATACTTAAAGTAATAATTCGACTGTTTATATTGTCAATGATATAATGTTTGGTGGTTTTAAATTGAATAATACGTACATTTTCATTTTAAAATCTACATACCTATCATACATGAATGAATTGGTTTATCGGTTTAAGAGATATGAAATAGAAATAATCATAAAATACTTCATTGTAAAAATAATATCATCTCAGAATCGCATCGAAGTACTCAAGTAACAAATTATACCTAATAATGTTAGATCATAATACGAGAATGTTGTATACCTGCATGCATCGTGAATTAAGAATTTGAATAGACGCGCAACAAGTTATCAGTACGCCAAAGACGTTCTAAGTACCCGACGTTTGTGACCTCATTGATTGTAAATCATATCAAAATTGTTCACTATGACGTTCGGTAGTGATTACATCATCAACTGGGGCATACCATTCTTAACCATTTTACATACCTACCTATTTTATTATAATATAATCCGGTCGAATGCACTAGAGAGTAGAGGCATCAAATACATCCAAGCTATACTCCAGAGTCCAGTCGTTTTTGATCAAAACATATTTTTCGGACATATTTCGACTCGTTGAAGACATCAAATTATCGGTAAATTTAATAAATTTTATTCGAGTATTAAGAAGTACGGAAACACTTTAACGTGTAAATATTTAACTAATTAAAACTAAAGTAAACCTAATTGTTGTTAATTGATAATAAGTACTTAGGTACTATTATATTATATAATATATTATATTAACAAACACACGAATTAAAAAGTAGTTAAATTTGTTACCAACGCAGTTTACTTTCTAATATCTTACAACTAAATCGTAAATTCGTGTATTGTCTACAAATTAAAATCGATTTCAATAAAACTAAATATTGTTAATGTTATAAGTACTTATATTTTTTACATTAAATATAATACTAAAACTAATACCTGCTGTTGGCTATCATCTGTGTTTGTAGCAATGGCTGAAAGCAGAGGACAAAGTACCAAAAAACCAACTGATTCTCAAAGAAAATTACAAGAATCACAATCGCAAGTAGATGAGGTTAGTAACATAAGATAAAATTATTCTTTAAAAGTGTTTGGTAATAAACAAAAATAAAATTCAAGGTCGTCGGAATTATGCGAGTGAATGTTGAAAAAGTGTTGGAACGTGATCAGAAACTTTCAGAGTTGGACAACAGAGCTGGTAATAATATATTATTTTCATTTTTTAAGATAATAATTGTTTAATTTTAATTGATGTTGCTAATATTAAAATAAATTTACTTTATGTTTCCAACATAACTATTCAAATATAGTTAAAGTAACCTATGATAAAAAATGTATGTCTTTATAAGTCTAATATTTATTGAAAAACTATACTACCCTACTTCAGATTATTCTTTGGGTTATTCTGTAGTTTAAAAACAATTTAAATGTAAAAACTAAGGTTATATGATGTTAAATAAAACATTTTAATTTAAATTAGGTGCTAAAAATTAATTTCATATTTATTATTGGTGGTCAAATAATTTTTAGAACATCAAAATTATACAATAGATGACCGTGACTATAAACTGGATGTCTAATAATAACTACTAAACCAAATTGGTTTATTTTGCTACAATATTCATTATCGTTATAACTGATAATAGATAATATTGAGATTTATTTCAAATTTTTTTCTTAACTACAAAATAATATTTATGGTTTTGTCTTTAGATCATAATTTTTATCAATACATTTTTTCTTTTTTTATTATGTGCTATATTTCGTTTATATCTTTAATAACTAATATAGTTGACGTTGTTTTTGCTTGCAAAAAAAAAATAGGATTATTAAGGTGAGTGTAAAATCTGAGTTTTATTTGTGATTGATAATGTTTTAGTGTATTAAATACCTATTTTAGAATTTCTTCTTCTATAACTTTTTAATTTATACATTTTTTTTTGTAGTAATATTATAAAAAAATTGTAGCTTAATACTTGAATAAATTATTTTTTTAGTTTTATTTAAAAAAAATACTGATTTATATTTTCTCAAGTATATTAGCTGTGAAAAATTTAATAGATAATCGCTTACTAAAAGTATTCAGTGTTTTTGTTTTTTAAAAATTGTATCACACTACTTATTTTGTTAAATAGTAATAGTAATTATATTTATTCCTGTTTTACGTCTTATTTATTCTACCGTATTATATCAAAAAATTTCTATTAATTCATTGTGTTTTCCTGTTGGGATTGTCGTTGATTACTATCTATATTTGTTTTATGGCTTCTTTTTATATTTAATAAATATTATGCATTTTATTTTTAACGACAATACTATTTTCAGATGTTCTGCAACAAGGTGCATCACAGTTTGAACAACATGCAACCAAGTTAAAAAGGAAGATGTGGTGGAAGAATTTGAAGGTCTGTAATTTTTCTTAACTATATCTATTTTAAAAATAAAATGTATAACAAATATTTATGCTGACTAATATTAATTTTTTGAATTTCTAGATGATGATTCTTTTAGGAACGATCGTGGCAGTCCTTCTTATTCTCATAGTTTGTGAGTTTTTTTAAATATTTTTTATTTTATATTATAACATTCCTGTCGTCATTATTTTTTATAACTGTGTTGAATTGTATTGACAAAGTATCTTCTTAATTGGGTGGTTTTAAGCTACTGGATTTTTCATATAGATCCAGAGAGTTTGTTATAAATCTTTTTTAACTTGAGTGTGACAACTTGTAATTGAGCAATTTGAATTTAAATTTAAATTAGAATTCCTTTGTTTTTATTAATCAAATTTTCTAAAAATCACTAAAAAGGTTGTGTAGCAAACATCTTTTGGAACTGTGAATGGAATCCTACACATTATTTTGTTTTTTGTCAACTACTAATAACTACATCATAAATGTTCCAAATTTCTGGTAAAAATAGTGACATGTCGTTTTCTACAAGCTGACCGTCCTCTGGGAAATACCTACACTACTTGTACTTAATTTGCTAATACTATAAATACTTTCTCCGCTGTGTCTATTAATTTGTTGAATGTTTCTCGAATATCTTACAACTTTTTTTACAGTACAAAAAGTCAACTCATAATGAATTTTTGAATGTTAGACAGATTTTGGTTAATTTTCATTAGGTACTCTTCTCTTATGACTGTTGGCGATATTCTACCAGAGAGGAATAGCCCTTAGGAAAGTAAACCCCCACAAATTTTTGACTTTTCATTAATACATGTGCTAAATTTATTAGTTGCTCATAAATGACGTATGAATATGTATGCTTAATTTTGTTCGTTGTTAATTAACATACTAAAGGAAATATATTTCCATAAATAAACTATAAATGGTAAATAATTGCATAAATTGGCAAGGGACTGTTTGATAGTATCATCGTCAACAGAGAATCAATGTTAAAATAATATAATATTCTCGCTTGTACAAAAAATAAGAGTTCTACGAGAATTTTTTTGTTTATTACAATAAATATATAATTAAATAAAGCTATGTCTTAAATATTTAATGTGAAAATTATAAAATTTTATTACTAAAGAACAAATAACATCACACCACACTGTAATTTCCCATATTAGTTTTTATTTTTAAATTTTTTTATTTTGTTTAATTTATCCTATTTTACAGCTTCTTATGGTGCTAAATATTATGAAGTATAACATAGTAAGCATTTGTCTCTATTGCATTATTGCGTATTAGAATTGTTTATTTTTGCATTAAAGTTTAAAAAAATGAATAAACTGTTATCTATAAAATATTTACCGATAGTAAAAAATGTATTGTAATTTAGTCAAAAATAACTCATGAGGAAGTTTTGATAATAGTTTAATATCATTAAAATATATAAAAAAATTAGTAAATGTAAAGAAATTATAATTTAATGTATTTTTGTGTTTCAGGGTCATTATTTTCTACCTAATTTTATTTCATCCCTAAACATTGGAAAATAAGACAATTTTCTGCAACTAAAATACATTACTAAAATACTTTGCAAGAAAAATAATTAATTATTCTTTCTTCTATTAGATTTATATGTTTCTTATTGTGATAATAAATATTGTTTAAAGCATTTTTAATTGATCATCTAAAACTAGTTTTTGTCGGTTTTTTTAAAAAGTTGTTTATTAAAATCAAATCCATAACATGATAATTTTGTTTAACTAAACATTATTATGGTTTATACAACTTCATATTGTTTAAAATTGTACAATTAATTCATAACCATTCATATATTTATACATTTTATATTATATTTTGTTTGTATTACTTAAGTGAACATTGTGGATTGGCTATGGTTACGCATTATTAGCATTATTCTTATTATTATTATTACTATAGTAAATTTCAAATTTATCTAATGTAATCCTTTAATTAATTAACTATATATATATTTATATAAACAATATTCAATTTTATTATACATTATTTTTTGTTTATTACTAATTATAAACATAAACGCATTTTCATGTATTTTTTAGCAATAAAGATATTTAATTTTCGTATTTTTAGATGTAGGAAATATAATATATGAAAATGAATAGTGAATTTAGCATTTATAAGTAATAAATATTATAATATAGTGAGTGATTAAAACTACAAAAAAAAATCCTTTATTGCTATTTAACAAATAGGTATAATTTCATGCTAATTATTTTTTTTCAGTTTGAATTTGATCCAACTTTAAAGATATACGTCTTGCTAAATATTCTTTTTCTAAATGATACCTTTTGATAATTTCGTTTTGCTGCCTCTCGACAACTATAGTTCCCCCTTTTCGTTGTAATTACTTAATATTAATTATAATAAAATTGGAGCCTTTTTATACTATCATTCCCGCCCTAGAGCACTTGATACTCCTCCTTTCTTTAACATGGCGCCATTGTTAAAAAAAATGATGTTACACACATAAATGCGATAGCTTCCAATCCTCTATCTTTCATATTAGCTATAATTAAAATAGTTAAAGAATTATAACACTTAATAGGTCGACCTGGTAAACTTCTAGTCTCCAGAAAACTATATAGCATACAAAAACTGTTTGCAAGTTGAAATTGATAATTATGCTAAACCAATATTGCTCAATTATATGTATGAACGCAAGCTAAATTGTAGAGAGGGCATTTCAGATTTCAATTTAGGTTATTGTTGTGTTTTTAAACCTCAAGTGGTGAATTAGTCTCTGCAATCTGCATGATCGACGACGTTCTAAACTTGCATGGTACTTACTTTTCGCACGGGTGACATAAATTATATTATCTTATCTTGAATAACCTACAAGCGAATTGGCGTTTTGTTGCACAAAAATTGATTGGCCCAACACAGTTTATGGAACCAATAAACTAATACACCTAGCATACGTCTACGAGATCGAATGTATTTAGACGAACTGCGTACACCTGTCCAAAAATAATAATTTAAACCGAAACGGCGTTTACAGGGTTATTGTAATTTGAGAATTTTTCTAATAATTTTTTCAGAAAGCTTAGAAAATTTTCCATAAAACGTGTAAATTTCAAATTGGGATCTCCGTAAAAACAAAAAAAAGGGGGTAAAAATTCGTAGAAAAGTAAAAAAAACGAGCTCAGTATTCAAAATAGTTGAAATAACTATATGTGCAAAATAAGATATTTTTTCGATTTTTCTATGTATTTTTACTTATTTTTTTCTTTTTCTAAACATTTTTATGGCGATCCCAATTTTAAATTTACACTTTCTATGTAAAATGTCCTCAGCTTTTAAAAAAAATATATTAGAAAAATTCCCAAATGTTGGGCAACGCAAAAAAAGAACTTTTTAGATTATAAACTCAATTTGAATGACTTTCTGTTAGGCGAAAAAAAAAATCAATATTTTTTTTAGAAAGAACATTATAATGCCCGGGAAATGTATAAGAATTTTATAATGATAATTAGGGTATGCAGTGATTTTAGCACCCCTTTTTTAGTACCAATTAATAAAAATAACTATACAGCCCATAGCCATAAAATTGTTGATTATGATTTCTTTTTTTGACTCACTTCAACAGTTAAAAATTTAAGTCAATAATTTGTTATTGTTCATTTTTAGTTTTTGTTTTAATGCCACTGTATTTATGTTATGTCTTGTTATCTGTATCTATACATTATTTAAATGTACATCTATAAACTTTACCCTTTGGGTGTCAATAAATAAATAAATAAAATTAATTGATTCATTTTACATAAAAAAACTGGTTTTTAGAATTTTTTTTTTTTTATGACCGAAGATACTATAAAAAACGATAAAAACGAGGTGTCAAGATAAAAACTCAAAAGACTTTGCCCCACCCTTGATTTTTATGGGCTGGTCAAATTTTCGATACTTAAGGCTGTTAATAATCTGTTTTTTTATGCAACTACCTACCTTTACTAATAATGAACCGTTTGAACTGACTACCAAGTATAATAGGTATGAAGGTTTATAATGTTTGTGTTATTACTGTTTTGTGTCTAAGTGTTTTGGAAAAACAATTTATGTTTGTAAATGAACAGTGGGCCGATAAAAATTTTACCCCACCCTAAGAAAAATTGAAATGTCGCCCCTGGTAGACGTTCGTTCATATATTTTGGGATTTGATCCATATATTATAATAATAGGTGTACAACAATATCGTTAAAGATTATTAAATATATTAGACCATTCATTTTTTAAATAAAGTTCGGTAAGACAATAAGTTAACTATGAGCATTGCGCTAAGCACTTTGGTTTCAAAACCGACTTGATGTTCAAGGCATGTAAAAGTATATCGTATGATGTAGATTGATGTGATTCATTATTAGCTTGTACAGCAAAACGTATGCATGTGCCTAACGCATAAATATGGTTGTATAGCATTTTTTTTTTCAAAGTAGAAACAAATTATTTCATGTCTTTACAATGTTGTTCGTCATATAATGATCGACGATATACATATTATATTTTCTTGAGAGAGTAAAATATTCTACACAAATATACGTATTTATTTTAATATATTATTTTGGTTATCTTTTTTTTTTATTACAAGTGTAAAACTTCAAGTACTCGTATATTTGATTATATAAAACTAAAAAAATAATAAGAATATTGTATTTTAATCATCAGTGCCGCGTGTGTTTGTTTGTGTTATGTGCAAGAATTGTGAATTTACACAGCTACATACATATAAACGCTGTTCGCTGATTGTTTAGATCCCCTAACGGTAAAATGGCCGAGCGGTTCACAGCTTACCCATCAGTTATGTGGTTATTGTCGTAAAGAGTTGTTGTGAGTGATCTCCCCGTAAGAAGTAACAGCCGCGTTTTTTTTTTTAAATTTGCGAAGCCTGTTTGCTATTTCGTTTTTGATTTTAAATATTTTAAACAGACTGCAAATCCATGTATGATTTTATTTTAAACACCTACCCTATATATTTATAATTTATTTTATAATTGATTTCGAATAATATAACATACTATGGATGTCGAAAATGGAAGGATTCCTGTGGACTTACACGAATATCACCATACGCTGGTAAGTTTAAATAGTATATTATAATTTTTTAACATTTTACCGTTAATACACAGAGACGACTAATAAATAATAACAAAATAAATGTTTGTCCCGACCGTACACTAGGATATCATTTCACGCATAATTCATAATTATTCAACAGTAACATTTCATTACTTGAAACAAATATTAAACTTTAATTTTAGATCAGTGGGTAATCACTATTATCAATTATACAGTCAGTCATTTGGCATTGCAATAAAAATAAATACTTGGCTGATTTAAAACATTTTAATGGTCATTTGGGGTAAAGTAATTTATTTTAAGAAATGATTTCTCCATTTCGGCGGCGTGTAATTTTTGCATCCAAAACTAATACATTTATCAAGGAAATCGTACTTTATTTCGCTTTTCTCATAAAATGTATTGGAATATCTTATTTTTCATTCAAATTAATAATATTATTCATACAGAAACTGTTATTATTAATTGTCGTAAACCGGTATAGTTTATCGCGATAACCTATATAATTCATGTATCATGCGTTAATCGCAAAACAAATACATCGTTGAAAGAAAAATCCACTTCAAATATTATAATATAACTACTAAAAAGAAAATCCAATCGTTTATATATTTTACCGTAGTATATATTTTTCCAGTAAACATCATAGCTCAAGGTTCAGTAAAAAACTATGATAAACACTAAATCAGCTATTTTTTTTCCTATGGCTGCAATAATGCAAAAACTACTATTTAACAAAATGTTTGCTATCGAAATAACCTAGAGTAATAAATATGGCCTATCAACTTTCGGATACTAGACGGGCGACAGCAGACGTTGTGTAGCACTACGCCATACACATTAGATATGTAGCTGAAGTTAGAGATATTTGTTAATTACCACTGATAAGCTAGTTTCATTTATGCAACTCTAAACGTCATGAGTTTTTTATGCTTTATATTAATAGTAATATTTTTATTATCCAATATATATGTAGTTCATAGTCAACAAGTATATAAAATTTGTACAGGTACACATAAATAAGGTAAAAAAAAAAATATATATATAAATAATATGCGTAATAACGAACATGCCTAAGCCCTAAGGGGTCGAAATACAAATAAAATGTTGTAAATAACAAGAAAAGAAAATGCGAAGTACAATAATTTGTCAGTGATTAAAGTGGATTATCAGATTTGAGTGACGCCAGAAATTAGTTTTTATTACACATACCTGTTAAGACGTAAAACAATATGTAATATTTGCCATTAACCGTTTATTGTCTATGTTATCTATTACCTATAACGCAGTCAGGATGTATTAAATTGCTATGTGCCAAAATAAGAAAACCGAAAGCTTTTACGTTTTCGTCAAGTGACTTGAGAATTTTGTAATCTATAATAATAGCATATTTCAAATTTGTACATTCTAATTTTAGTCCGAAAAGGCCAATGAAAAATGTTGTAAAAAGTGTAATACCTAATTGTATACATTTAAACCCCAATTTATTGTGTCAACATTTAACCTTATTAAAAATAGAAATTTCATAAAGCGCATTTGCCAAAAGCGAGTTTATCCTCTTAGACCCAAGGTACAGAAATCAATACAGTAGCCAAGACAGAATATAAATTCTAACAAATTATATTTATCAAACATAAGTAAAATTATAGGTGCTTCGTCGAAGATAAAATTCGTTTTAAGTTGTAAATTATTTGTAAATTGTATATTACATTTTTTTACCATTTAAATGTGGTAAATATTGTTTAAGCACATTAATTCATAAAAAACTAGTATTAAGTAACAGTTTTACAAACTA